CGCCGAGCAGAACGAGGCTCTGGGCATCTCTGCTGCACAGGCTGACGAGCTGGCCGCCGCCGCTAACCCTGGCTTGACTGCCGAGGGCGACATCATCCCCAACGAAGTTTACAGTTTCCCCGCCAGCTGCCCGGGTTGCATGCACTCATGCACAACACACATGAAGATGGTTGACATTCCCCACTTCAAGCAGGTCGTCCTCATGTCCACCGTTTGCGACGAATGCGGCTACCGCTCCAACGACGTCAAGACGGGTGGTGAGATTCCCGAGAAGGGAGAAAAGATCATCATCAAGGTCAACGGCCAAATCGATCTCGCCCGCGATATCCTCAAGTCCGAGACCTGCGCGCTTGAGTGCCCTGAGCTCAACCTGTCCGTCAACCCAGGCACCCTCGGCGGTCGTTTCACCACCATCGAGGGTCTCCTGACCCAGGTCCGCGACGACCTGAAGAGCCAGATCTTCCAAGTCGACGGTAGCTCCGGCGGCTCCGGCGGTGACTCACTCGATCCTACAGAGAAGACCAAGTGGACCACCTTCTTTGACGGTCTCGACGAGGCCATCAACGGCAACCGCGAGTTCACTGTCATCCTCACCGATCCCCTCGCTAGCAGTTTCGTTCAGCCGCTCGTCGACCCCCCCGCGCCCGACCCATCTATCCAGCGCGAGTACTATGACCGCACACACGAGGAGGAGGAGGAGCTTGGCCTGTTAGACATGAAGGTGGAGGGGTACGAGGAGGAGGCTGCCAAGGAGGCTGAGGAGAGGGAAGCGGCGAAGAAGATGGATCAACTTTTGGACGCCAACATGGGCAAGAGCTCATAGTACGGTGGCGGACGAGGGTGGGAATGAGATGAGTGGTATGACACATTTGGGTTTTACGTGAGGAAGGGATGGGGATTGATAAAAGAAGTACATGATGATGATACCTACGCATAGGCGGGTTATTGAAAAGTTTTTTGAAGCCTTGGAAACGTCTGGCGCGATTTGTGATTTTCTCTACGTGTGTCGACTCCCTTTGGTGGGTGCCCACCTAAGATGCGCCGACGAGAGGTTTGTGGCCGGTAACGTCCGGTATCGTCCGTCTGATGATGCTTTTTTTTCATCTTATTCTCCATATACAAACGCCTGGGAAACGGGAGTTCCTCATCGTGCCAAAGACGAGTAAAAGAGTCTCTGGTGCAAGGTGATTGATTGGCGTTTGAAGCGATAATGATTAGTTCCTGCCAAGGGCTACTCGGTCTCTTCTTATCGCATGGCGTTCTCATCGTTTAGACGAAGCTTGACTGGTCCACTCAAGTCATGCTCTGGTACCAGTCACGTATTATGCTACGGACAACCGAGAGATTACTTTTATATGGATTTCTTACATCGTCTATCGCTCGAACCAATCAATTTCACATAGACATATAGCAGAATACCTCGTTGTTACGCCCATGTCAAAGTAGTGGAAACGCAAGTTGGGTCTTACTGCAAGCATACAAGACTGAGCGCCTTTTATAGCAGTCCCCCTCCCCTCAGTCTTTTACCCCCTTTTTGATTGGCCTTGCAGATGGTGTGACGATTCAAGTCCTCGCTCAACATGCTCGAGATCGATCGCAAGCAAATGAGCAGGAGTGGCGATATTTCACAGAAAAGAAGTCCAGGTTTGAATGGGGAGCTAGTGCAAGCAGCTTCAAGACGAAAATTGGCAACCCACATATGTAACTCATGCTTCATTTGCTCCAAATCAAGCCATCAGCAAAACTATATGAAAGCCCCCATGTCTATCAAACCAATAGTTCACATTCCCTCTCTCGCATAATTGCTGTGTTTTCTAAGCTTCGCTCCTCTCTGCAATGGCAGTTAGTAAAAACGGCGTTCACAGTTTACCCACGTTAAAGGGGGGGAGGGGGGGTCCATCCTTACCATGTACAAAATATACGGCAACGGCACAAATGCAACCGCAAAAATAGCCAAAATCATACTCGACCCGAGCACGTCGAACCGGTAATACATTGGCGGGATAAACAGCGGGAACGTAGCACCGCACATGGCGTTAAACAGCTCATTCCCCGCCAGAACAGAACTGACGTGATCAGGGTACGACTCGGCGAGGTAATTCAAAATCGAGATATACAGCAACAACCCGCCCGCCGTAAAAAGCGAGGAGCCCACAATGGGCACGAGGTAATTTATCTCGGGCCGCGCCGTCCACCCGAACCAGACTAAACTGGCAGGGATAAAGAGACATCCGACCATGGCGGGGTGGAGGTGCTTCTCCGGCTCAATGTTTCCCTCGCGATCAAACTGCGGCTCGATGCGTTTGCGATAATAAAGAAAGAAGGGCGGGATGGTGAGGAGGACGCCGACAATGAGACCTAGAAGCGCGATGCCCTGTTTTCCTGTGCCAAAGTGGTATACCTCGCCGTAGGCTTGCGGCAGGGCCTCGAACCAGATGTACATGAGCCCGTAGGCGAATGCGCTGTAGAGGTTCAGGAAGAAGACGGCTGGATCGGTGAGGACGAGGGTGAAGGGGCGGACGAGATGTGCTTTGAAGACCTCCGTGCCGGCGGTGTAATCTGCGCGCAGCTGCGCTTCGCAGATGAAGCCCGGGTCACCTGTAACCTTTCGCAGACGCATGGCCCTTCGATAAAGAATATTATCCGCGCTCGTCTCTGGCAGAAAGAAGATGAGCACCACCAGGATCCAGGCTGCCAACCACGACACGATCCAGGCGGACCAGGTCCAGCCTTTCAGCTCGACGGCGAAGCCGCCGACGATGGGCCCGAGGGTGGGACCGCTGATGCCGATGAGGCAGAAGGAGGCCATGGCGTAGGTGTGTTTGCGGGAGACGAACATGTCGTTGAGAATGCCCCCCGCAGAGCCGAGGACGGGGGAGCCGAAGAAGCCTGCGAGGAAGCGGAAGCCGAGGAGCATGCCGATGGAAGTGGCGAGGGCGATGGGGATCTGGGCGAGGCCGAAGATTGTGAGGGCGGGTATGTAGATTTGGTTGCGGCCGATCTGGGGGATTTCGGAGAGGGGGCTCCAGACCATCTTTGCGTTTTTGTCAGTATATGTGTGTGTATGTGTGTGTAGATGAGGATATGGGAGGGGAAGGGAGGGCGGAAGGGTGTAGGCTCACTGGACCGAGACCGTAGCCTAGGACAAAGACTGTCAGACCTAAGAGGGCTACGACTTCTGAGACGCCGAATTGCTGGCGGACGCCGTGGGTGCCGACGGTGTAGATTGATGCGCCTGCGTAGACAGCAATGACGAGGAGGCAGATGTGGAAGCTGACGATGGCCTTCTTCAAGACAGACCAGTTTCTTGGGTTCTGTGGAGTACGACCTTAGCTTCGATATCAAGGGGTTGGGATAGGGAGATATGGGGCTTGAAGTTCTTTCGCTAACCTCTGGGTCGTTTGGCAAGAACTCGACGAGATGGAGACCCTTTCTGTTCTCAATGCCATACTTTTCCCACGTCGTGCGGCTGATTGTCTGGTTGTTTAGGATGTCGCTGTCTGCTTTCTCCGAGTCTAGTGAGAATTCTCGGACCTGGGTGTGCCTTGAAGCGTATGAGAGTCTGGAGTTCAGAACGAATGATTCGCATATTAGTATAACGCCTTTTCTCTTCCGAGCGTGAAACGTTGCAACTCACCCCGAGTTTGAACGATCATAGCCGCTTTCCGTGTACCGCTGACGGATCAAGGGATGTCTCTCGTCAAAATATTGGAACGCCGGGTGCCTGGCTCTCGTGACTGCTCGAATGACGTGCCATGCCCAGGTATCTCGAACGAGCTCGTTGAAAGTCATGTTGCCGCGTCGTCGTATCCAATGTCAACTTCCTCGCCTAGCAAACACTCAAATGTCGAGGAAATATTCAAGACCCGTCGATCCTCTATATGAAAGGATTAAGAACGTCCAGAAACGAATTCGAGGCGGTAGTCCGTCAAGTTTCAACTTTCTGAATTGCCTAGATGACCGTCATCGTCCTAAGCAAAGAACAATGCGAAGAATACGTGTCTCTTGTTTCTTGATAGTCCAAAGAAACGTTGATCGCCGCGGATCCCCGACAAGAACGCACTGATTCCTGTTGCCCCCCTTCAAGAAGAACTGAAGTTGTGGGAGCCGTTGGGAATTCGTTTCGCTACCTCCGGGGGAGAGGCACACGGTCCCCCCCTCCTCCTCTACTTGCCCGAATACGTCCAGTGTGAAACTTTGCAAACTGAGTTGCGCAAATATGTTCAGTCGGGAAAGAGGTGTGGCATGGCTGAGCGGTACGGGCTCATCCCCCATGGACAATGCACTGCCTATGGCGGTAAGTTGCTTCGAACATCCTTTCCTAGCCTTCCGGGCGGCGCGCTCCCGGCTCGAGTTTCCACTCTTTTCGTCCCGTCCGGTTCCGCGGATTGGCCCACCTACCGGTATGGGGCCGTGTGTCCCCCCCGCGACTTTGGCCAGAACTTGGTCTGGGCCAAGAGTGTTTCCATGCGTTTGACGTCACTGAAACAAATTTGATCGAATTATCGTGCAGCTAGAGAGAAATTGAAAAGAGCCAGATACACTGTCGACGAGCCTTTCAGTTGTTCAATTAGTCAGGTGGTCACGCTAAACGGACGTTATGTAGAGTATTTGGGAATCATGTCGCTTGCTGTCAAGCTGGACCTAACTCTTTTGGCGCATCTAGAAATGACATTCGGTCATTGCCTCGAATTCTTTGCTTGATTTCGTGTTCCAAAGGCCGGATCAAGACAGGAAAATCTCGTCGAGGCAAATCGTCTCGCATCAGCTGAAGTTGAATAAATCAAAGCGTTCGCAACAGAGGTGTAAGTTGACAGCCTCTCCCCCGCCGTGAAGTGGGGGGTGGTGGCTTTCATGCGTGCAGACCACAGTCGGCAGGGCGGCAGGGCAGCAAGCTCGAGTCGGCACCCGGAGCTCAATGCACCGATGCCGGGGGCCCCAATGAAGTGGTCCACCACGCAACCTTAAACCTCCAGTCGCATCCGTCCAGCATGCATACAGCTTGAAGCTAGCTTCTGCGCCGTCAACAACACCAGACGACTACACAACGATTCGAGTTCGCAATCGAAACCACCAGACAAACATCCAACATGTCCGTCACATTACATACGAATCTCGGCGACCTCAAGATCGAAGTCTTCTGCGAGAGCGTCCCAAAAACAGCAGAGGTAAGGCCATTCCCATCATCCCAATCATCCCAAAACTTTCCCCCTTCGCATCCCACCCGCGGCCGACTCACCATCCACCAACCCACCCCCAAATCACATCGCGAGACAACTCCTCCAAACAGACGACTAACCCTCTTTCCTCTCTTCGTACAGAACTTCCTCGCCCTCTGCGCATCACACTACTATGACGCCTCTCCCTTCCACCGCCTCATCCCGAAATTCATGGCCCAGACAGGCGGTCCCGCGCACCCTTCCCCTCCCGACAACCCAAAGGGTGGCCGCTCCATCTGGGGCGGCGTCTTTGACGACGAGATCCGTCCGGCCCTCAAGCACGGCGCGCGCGGCGTCGTGTCCATGGCCAATAAAGGGCCCGGCACGAACGGCTCGCAATTTTTCGTGCTCTTTGACAAGGCGCCGCACCTGGATGGGCTCAATACCGTGTTCGGGCGGATTATTGGCGACGATAGCACCGTTACGCTGGGCAAGATTGAGGCGGTCGAGGTGGATCGGAAGAATCGGCCCAAGGAGCCGGTTGTAATTGATAGGGTTACTGTTCATGCGAATCCGCTTGCTGGGTGAGAGAGAGGGAGGAGGGTTGGTGTGTTGAGGATCGTGAGGGGATATGAAGAAGAAAGGTTTCGTGTATGGCTCCGTGGGGGAAGGGGGGCTATTGGGGGGGAAAGGGCCCCTGAAAAAGCTATGATACCCGTACGTCAAACGGTTCAAGACTGTCCTGACGGCACACAATTGTTTAGATGAAAAGAAAAGACTATTGCTTTTGTCAACCCTCTCCCTCGGCCAGCTAGGGGCAACCCATTGTATCCTATGAAGTGACCTAACCGGCGCGTCTGACACTGAGTTCAGGCTGCCAGGCAAGAGAGTGACCGAAAGCTACACCAAGGCCTTGGAAGATGAAGAAGTACTCGCAAGTCCAGAGTTTGAAGAACCAGGGAAAGCAGTAGAGGTCAGTTCTGCACTGTGGTTCTTTCGGTTCTTCACCTGACCTCTACCAATGGTACATCATCCCATGAAGTAAACTCCGTTATTGTTGGCGAATGTTTGAAGTGTGTTAGACAGGAAAGCAGAGCGGACTCATGTAAAGTCTGGCTCTCCTCTGCCTTCCACTTCCACACCAACCCTCCGCCTTGCAAATGTTGTAACTGCCGATCAAGCTCAACTAAACATGGACATCAGCAACATAACATTCCGATCACGTCAGGCATGGCCCACACAAAACATCACTAGAGAGGCACGTCTAGACACCAGTATGTAAAAATCAAGAAGAACAACATGATCCATAATTCGCCTTCGCTATAGGATACCATGACAATAGGCGTCAGCGTACAAAGCCAAGCCAGCCAGGTGGAGTAAAGAAACTCAAACCCCTACGATGCAAAAAGAATATACGGAAATGTGGTGCAGCCCAAACTCCGCCTTAGTGAGATATGACCAGAGTCCTAGGATCAACAACAAAAAGGAGGGGGTTACCAAACAATAAAATGACGAGGGGGAAAAAAAGTTGTTTGACATATCCTCCATACGGATCATTGACACCATAACACATGTGTATGACCATTCATTTATACCTGCCGCTGCATTCATGGAGCCGGCGCAGCAGCCTTCTCCGGCTCGCCCGCCGTCGCCGCTTCCGCCGCCGCCTCTCCTTCCTCTTCCTCTTCTTCTTCCTCTTCTTCCACTTCTTCGTATTCAACCTCCTCTTCCTCCTCCTCGCCCTCCTCCGCAACGATACCATTCTGTCTTTCCCAGACCTGCCTTCGAATCATATCATCCTTGGCCGTGCGCGCCCTTTCCACCTCCTCAAAGCCGCCAGACTTCTTCAACTTGCCCTCCTCGACAAAATTAGACAGTTCCCTCTGCAGCTCATTGCCCTTCCGGCCCTCGAGTTCCTTCTGCCTTAGTTTCTCCGCGCGCTCAATGGCTTCGAGACGGTTCTCGTGGTTGGGCTGAAGAGCCCTCACCTCGCCCAGAACGCCATCCTTGGCCGCATTCGGGTCGAGGCTGTTTCCGATACCGTTCAGCCCCTTGGAAAAGTTACGCGCACTGCCGGCGCTGGCGCCAGTCCCATTGTCCTTCAACTGCTCCTTGGTAGCCTGCTCGACCAGCGCAAAGGTCTCGGACGCCTTCTCCAGGTCATCCTGCAGATCAATCATGAGATCCTCCATAAGGCGCAGCTCATCACGGCCCTTGCACACGTCCTCAAGCTCCTTCTCCCAGATCTTGGTCCAGATGGGCTTCTCTTCCTTCATGTAATCCTCCACCTTCTTGAGCTCCTTGGAAAGCTTCGTGATATCCATCGCGACAGTCTCCAGTTGCCTAGGCAGGGGCCGCACACCACGGAGAACCACATCTTTGCGGAGATCCTCGACCAAATCTTGCAAGTCGTCAACCTTTGTGACGAGTCGGTCGGAGTCTGTGTTGAGCTGCTCGCGACCCTTGGTGACGTAGGCATGGCCAGTCTCGCCATCAATGGTCGGTATCGAGGCTTTGACCACCGCCGCCTTGACGTTGCTCGCCTTACTGCGGATGGCTGACATGGAGCCTTGAATCTCCGACTGGAAGCTGGAGTAGGCCTGGCGCATGACAGCGAGGTCACGTCGCAGAGTCTGAATCTCGGTGATGTGTCCAGAGGCAAGCTTACGGCCGCCAGCAAGGCTCACTGACTTGGATCCGTCAGCAGGCGCAGACACAGCCGGAGGGGCGGCAGCAAGCCTGGCCATCTCCGCAACCGCCTCTTGCTGACGTTCCGAAACTCGCTGAAGGGCCAGACCCTGGTCGTCTTGGTTCTGCTTCACATCCTGTACTATTTTCTTTAGTTGCCCGATGCCCTCGTCGATGTGACGTTTTACTTCATCGAGCGCCTCGACATTCAAAGCTAACACTGTCCGATCCTTGATATCCGACAGATCCTCAAGTTCGTGTCTAACCCCGGATACGGGATCTTGTATATAAATTTCTGGAAGATCAGCACCGTTGGAATGCGTATTCCAAGAGAACTTTTCGATAAAGGCCAGCTGAAGGCGTCCGATCGAGAGCTCGCTGTACCCCTCAGGCAGCACAAACTTCTTGACTTTGGACTTGTATTGCAAGAACAACGTCAGCTCCGTGGTGAGCGGCGGAGACTGCTCGTGAAGGAAGCTGGCATCGCGCTTCTTCTCCGGGGTCTTGATCCCTGGTGAAACCTTCGGTTCGTCCTTGCGTGGTGGTTCAGGCTTGCCATCATCGTCGTCAGGTGACATAATAGGAAGATCATCGCTGAGAGGGCCTTTTAGGGTAGCGCTGGGTTTTGGGTACTTGTCCTCTGGCGTTTGAATCGTTGGACTTTCGGGCCTGCCTGCCGACAGCTCCGCTGCGGCCTCATTGTTGATTCGGCTCGGTGCCGGAGAGGTATCTAGTTGTGGCTGCTTCGAGGCCCGATTTTGTCGGAGCGTCTCTCGGGTCTGAACAGCACGCAGAGATTCCCGGACTTCGCCCCGCCCGCGGTTCGGTATCGGGGAGTTTTGTGATGGCAGCATTGGCACGCCATTCATGGCACTGCCTAGGTGCTTAGATATTTGATACTGCGAGTAACGCCGAGAAGCTCTTCTCTCCAGGTCACCGCCCTTCTGCAAAGCCGCGAATGCGCTTGATTGCTGCTTTGGAGGAGGCGGTGGCGGCGGAAAAGAGTCAACGTTGACTTCTCCAGACTGCGCAGAGGGCATCGTCGCCTCATCTCCGGGGTACGGAGGCATAACGGGAATGTTTTGCATTGTCGTGCTAGACATGGAAGACTGCTCCGAGTTGACGGAACCGCGCGACTGATCTCTCGGGGGTAGGTGGCGACGACTTGGAGAGGTGCTTGCTGGGGCGGCACCGGCAGATTGGGAGGATTCCCTCTGAGCGTCTGGTCGATAGCCATTCTGAATGCCCTCCTCCAACAGATTCGTTAATCCAGTGTTGCCACTGCCAATCGTGCTCGTGCTTGTCGTCCTCTCCGGCGCGCCTCCTGAGCCCCCACTTTCCCTGTCTCGTGGTTGTTTTTGGCGCAGCTTTTGCTGTTTGCGCTTCAGTCCATGGAGCAGATTGATGATGATATCTCGAATCCGTGGAAGGTATTTTTCCAAGCTTTCGGTGCTCGCTTCCTGGCTCAGGGTAGACTCTAGTATGCTTCGTAGCAGTTCAGGAACGTTGCCTAGATCGGAGGTATCCACGTTGATGGCAGTGAAGGCTCGGCATGCCATGTTGAACTCGTATCCTAGTCTGACATACACATCAGACACCTGACCGTCGGTAGCTTGGCCGCGCGACCATTGTGTGAGGGTTTCCAGTAGTTGTTTGGTTGCGACTAGCAGGTGGGTGACGCTCTTCTCAATTTGCGATAGAGGCATGGCTGAGCTGCTGGTAGAATTCTGTAGATCGAAACTAGGTCAGCTGCTGGACAGATAAAAACAGTGATGGCAGAAGCACATGGAATCGTTGCGCAGCCATCGCATTTGGTGGAAGCTCGAGAGTGGCTTCCCGGTTGCTGGAATGCGTAATCAGACTCACATTCGATCTCCGCATCCCATTTGGCGGGGCGGATCGGTTTGAGGCGTTGGAAGCTCTCGGCTGCATACCGGTACCCGGTGATATTGACCGGACGGGCACATTAGGCGGCGGCCCAGGTTCGGCACCTGGGGAGCGCCGTTGCATGCGCTGGGAAGGGGTCGGCGCCTGCATCGTAACTCAAGTCGGCGGGTTTCTTCGTCTTTGCGATTCTCTGGTCCACCTCTTCCTTGCGCTTCCCCAAATAGTTTCTCCGAGATGAGGTACCCAAAAAGTTAAGACGAGCGAGTCGGTAGAAGTTTGTGGAAATGGCTGGATCGGCTCGCAAACGCTTATTGAAGCAGAGGGTTGAAGTTCATGCCACGAGAAGCAAAGACAGCGAAGGGCGGATTCTGCGAAGCTGCTGCCGAGGTGTATGTGCGTACGTCAGGGCAATATGTCGAGATTCGTCTCATCCGATGCCTAGTCCGAGGGCGAAGAGATCGATACGTGGAACGTTGGTCGGCGGTAAGGGGGGTCCGTCCGGTTCGGTGCGAAGGATGGGGGTTGTTCTGTGTGCGAGACGGAAGCTGTAAAAGCAAGGGCTAGAACGCGTGCCGGAGAAGCGAGCGGAAGTTCTGCGATATAGGTGGTGGGTGATAGGTTATCGGGGATGCCGTCGATGGCGTTGTCGTCCGTAACGAGATGGTCGGCGCGCGCAGAATGTCGCAGATTGTGTGATTAGTAGCGAGACCTGAGGGAGGGAAAATCGACAAGGCCAGGATCGGTTGCAGATGGCAGAGCGCAAAAGGCAATGCAGCAGAATGCAGAGCAGGAAGCACAGCAATTACGATGTGGAATTTCAGGTGAAGTATGTATGTACGAGGTACAAGTTGCAGCACGTATATGCAATGTCGAACCGTGTTCGGAAAGCGGAGAGGTCTCTGGCCGTATCCGTAGCTTTTTCGGCCCAAAGACCCAGAACTTCTACAGCCCAAAGAGATTGAAGCAAGGGGACGGGACCGCACACTTTCCATGCTCTGCTCTTTTTTTTCTTCAGTGCCCTTCTCCTCTTCTTCTTTAACCTTGCCCTTCTCCGTCATCCCTCCCCCAGTCAAAGTCCATAAAGCATAAGGTACCTCGTGGCACGCGTGGCACGGTACTCGTCGGTTGCACCTTGAAGCGGCCCCCCCAGTCCAAGTCCGCTGCCCGTCACCTCATCCTGACAGTGGAGCGCTGTCTGGGCTCCTCCCACTGGCTCCTTCAGTGGCTTGATACCCTTGTTAAGGATGAATCCAGGGTGCACGTGCCCCGTCTACCAGCCACCCGATATGCAACTCGGTACCACTAACCACTCACCCACTCACCATTCACCACCACCTCAGTTCAACCAGTGAGTCTGTACCGTCCATCCATCCACCTACCTCAACCAGAACCAGGACTATCGCACCCCTTGAGCCCGAATTACATACAACATCACTGATGAAACACTAAAGAATGTTTCAAAACATCGATAGTCTGTGATGTTTGTTCTGCAGAGCGGGGTGCACTACCACTCCGTACCAACATCTCGAAAGACAACCCTCAATATTTTAGGGAACATCTCAACTTTATCGCAATGGACGCCCCCCACCTGATATGCACTTCCTCGCATGCCCAAAGAAAAAGGATGGAGAGAAGTGTCCGGGCGTTGCTCCAGCTAGCTCTAGAATTATACGGATAGTTGCTCTTCTTCAGACGCCCTGATGGGGTAAAAGCCAACGAAGCCACGGTCAGTGCATCTAAGCTTTCCGATTATCCTCCTGTCATTCAAGTCTACTACCTCGTAGACCACCATACCTGCGACCTCAGAGCAACGGCGTTTTGCCCCACGTCTAACCCCTGCGAACCGTTGTCAGAGGAAAATGAGTCTGGTGTTTCAACCTTTTCCTCCTGGCTGGGCTGTCCATGGCTTGGGCGCATCATTACATCACCAAAGTGACCAAACTGCAACCATAGGGCAAACCTCGGTGGTTCATTCTACTTTAATCCCCATGATCTACACAACGAACCATTGAGCTCTCTCGAAATCTTACTAGCAGTGACGGCAGTCTATCCAGAGCTTGTCATTCCTGGCCACGTTTCTCGCACTTGACAGGCGTGACAGGGCACTGCGCCACCCGACAAAGATTAAGATCAACCCCATCCATCCCAGAGGCATGGGTTGGCAACCAAAGTGCGGAAAATAAAGCATGAACATGGGCTACAGGGACCTTAACCCGACTCCAAAACCTATCGTGCGTCGTTACCACACCCACGACACTCTCACCGCAATTCTACAAATAAAACCCAGCCACACATCTGCGCAGATACCACAGTCACTGCTTCTACTAAGACACCAGCATCCTGCGCATGAAAAAGAACGAGTGTACCATGGCACTCGCCAACGGATGCAACACCCGCGGCGTCTCGAACTTGGCATGCCTCGCTATCGACGTCGCGATGGTCGTTCGCGGCGAGCCCGGCGTGAACATCCAGTCGTGCATGAGCTCGTCCGTCAACCGCTGCACCTTTTCCATGCGCGGGAACATTTCCTTCTCGAACGCCTCGATCCTTTTGTCTAGATAGTCGGCTGGATCTGCACCTGCACCTGCACCGCCGCCCTCAGCGACGGCGCTGATGATGGCTCTGGCTAGCTTCATCGCATCCTCGAGCGCAACGTTGACCCCCTCTCCTGCAAAGGGCGTCATCAAGTGAGCCGCATCTCCAATGGCCGTCACACCGCGCCGATGCGGCCACGTGAAGCCTACGGGTAGCATATAAAGTGACCTCGGCGTGCAGTCACCAGCAGCCTTGGTGATCGCCTCGGTGAGCTCCGGAGCCCAGTCCTGATATAAGACCAAGAGCACCTTCTTGACTGCCTCGAGGTCGTGCGGATCATACCCGCAGACCTCGGGGGACGCCCAGTCCTCCCCGCCGCCTGTGCTCGACGCATATATACTCAGGCTGCCATCACCCATCTGTTGAATCGACAGACGCTTGCCGTCGCTGTTGGCAAACAAACTACCTCTGTTGGCGAGCTTGTAGACCTCAGGCGCCGTCTCGGCCGCATTCGGGATGCTCATGCCGTATAACATGATTCCCGTCCACAGAGGCTTGATATCCGGCGCCAGAAGCCTGCGGACCTTACTCCAAGCCCCGTCCGCGCCTACAACCAAATCAAATCCACCAACAGTGGTATGTTCAAACACGAGACTGCTATCTTCTCTGACTTCTCTCAGCCTGTGACCCCATTTGATCATATTCGGCGGAAGAGACGCCGTAAGAATCTCACGCAACTTGGGCCGGTCAATCTCCGGCCGCTCCTGCACCGTGCTACCGAACCCTGTCGCGGAGTTGACGAACCAGGACTTGTTGTTCTTGTCGACGATGGCCATGTACTGGCCGTCGTAGCGCGCGTGCTTGAGGAACTGGTCAAAGAGACCTGCTTCCTTGAGCGCGGCTAGCCCCGTGTCTGTGTGCAGATCCAGACTTCCGCCTTGTGATCGGAAGTTTGGTGAGGCTTCACTTTCGAAGACGGTTGCTTCGATGTTGGCTAGGTGTAAGAGGCGTGCTAAGAGGCATCCTGACGGATTTGTTAGTTTGCTGGCTGGGGACTGCATACGAGTATGGTGCAGCATGGTGCTTAAAAATAGCTTACCTGCAGGTCCTGCTCCGATGATTGCTATCTTAAGATTCGACATGGCTGATCAGGCCTATCATGTGGGTGACGACGGTCGACACTTTCCACGATCAGAAAGACGAGATATCGAGCCCCAATGAAGGATTCCTGGCATGAACGGTGTGAGAATATTGCTCTGCTCGACAAGCCCCCAAAGTAACAATCCGCACATGTAACTTGAATGGTAAATTTGCTTGATGATAATGAGATCAAGAAAGTGCCCCGTCAACTATATGGGCCGAAGTTCGCGTGGACAGGACGTCGTTATGTACAAATCGCCGGATTTGTTGTGCCGGGATTCACTGCTATATGACTGACCGACGGCGCCAGTCTTGGAGATAGGTATTCAATTAAGGGAAGCACGTAGTCCCCTCGCAACCGCATTCGCTAGTCATACCAGTAACTAGTCTTACATGGACTAGAACGTGTCGTAGGTACTAGTAGATAGCTAGAGGGACTGTGGCTGCTTGGGCGTTCCTAAGTGGTTGCGTACAATTGCTCCGGAATCCCGTTTTACACGAGCTCCTGGGCTGATAACTTTGCTACGAAATCCGTTCCACGCTGTAAGTAGCACCAAACAGGCCAAAAGCGATGACGCAGCTCAGCATTACAGCCACAACATAGTGCAAGTGCAAAGCCTTAACGCCAGATTAGCTGTCACCCATCAGTTGTGAGATATAGTCATCACGATGATTTTTACTGTGGAAATCGACGAAGATCTCAGGTCGTGGTGCTCCAGTGAAGTTTGAATATCAGAAAGGGATCCTGCCATCTCATCTTCCCGTATTCTGAGTGGTCAAGTACCAAAGTACCTCTAGAGGCCAGAAGAGTGGGTCTCCACTCACCCGTCCACTGCCGCCGTGCCGCCGTCCTCATCGCTTGAGAATCAATCTTGTTGCCTGAGGCCACCAAAGGCATCGAACTCGGAGCTTGCACTTCGGGGAATCCAGAAACCTTCAATTGATCACATCCGCCCGAGCTGACTGCCCCCCCATAAACCACCGTCCATCAACAAATCCAAACAACCGCCAAAATGGTCTTCGCCTGGAAAGCCGCCGGTATCACGTGAGTTCAATTGACGAACCCCTCGAAGCCTTTGCATCCGTTGCAATTGGGCGCCTGCGACCGAACCCAAGAGAGAGAAAGAGGAAAGGAAGGAAAAAGCTAACCCGGCAACCCCCGATTTCCAGTTACAACCGCTACCTCGCCGTCGCCTCGCGCGTCGTGCGCCGCAGCCTGAAGGAGGACAAGAGACTCGTTGCCGAGCGTCGCGGCGAGATGGAACTCCGTTTCGCCAAGTGGGAGGTGAGCGAAATCGATCCGGAAACACATGACGATGGGGGGAACCGATGGGCATCGAACAGAATGACTGACTCCAATTTACCGCAACCGCAGAACGGCAAGCAGGGCGATGTCAAGAACCTTGCGGAGGCCACCGTCAACGTCCCTCCTCCTTCTTCGTAAACTTCCGAATCGACAATTGAAGCACGTGTGAGAGAACAGAGGGAATTGCATCCAAGGGTTATCGAGGGATAGATGGGGGAAATGATGGGGAGTGAATGCATACCACGACACCTCTCCCCGGGTACCCGCCGGCTCAATATGACAGTTGAGTTGCTGTATCATATCAAAAACTAGGCATAAAATCTATCAATCGAAATGCCATGCTAAGACTTTTTTGTCCGATTTAAATTGAAATGTACATGACCAGGCACCGGTGATGAAATGTTGCGATGTCGGGGTGTCCTGTTGCGGGTAACCGGCGCGCGCGCTCGTTCGACTTCGGCCAGAATGTTGGGCGTGCTTTCCAGGTTCCCTCCACCCAAATTTGCCCGCCTGCCGGACAAATTCGGTTGTGATCAATCACTCCATGTTTTCCCTTTCCAGATACCCGTAACTCGCAACTACACCAAAATCGCAATTGTCGTATTGAAGCAAAAGACATTACTGCTGCGCTTTCATTCTCAACCGCTTGTTGACATCATTTTCGTAAGGGACTAACTAGGGCAGATCATCGTGTTCCCGAATTTACCGGCAGTTTTTTTCCCTCCTTGATGGGCATATCCATGCCCAGACCAATGCAACTGTGACCTCACTAAAACCTGCACTCTCAACGCACTCGTCTCAACCAGAAATCTCATGAGGTGCAGTTGCTGATATGGCCATCCCGTCCGGCTTTGGAGTGTCTGATGGTAAGAAAGTCCCCCTCAGGACACTTTATTGGCATCACGTCTCTGACCATTCTTCAAGACATTTCAAGGCTCTCGCTGGAGCAAGAGCGTGAACCCCACCCTCCGCCGCCTCCGCCCAATGTGTCAAACCACGGCATCGTCTCGTTTGATATCACGTCAAAATTCAGGACGGCCGCCGAAAGTACGCTGCGGAAACTCATCACCATGAGGACGATATGTTGGACTGACCGTCTATGCAGCACTTGCCCCTGGCGAACTGGTCAAGGATGGCTTCTTCACGCTGTTTGAGTCCGTCGGGGCTCTTGAGGTACGTGGACCGCGGGGTTTGATGGCGGCGGCTAGGAGTGCACCCTACTGACAGCGCCCCAACTCAGATCATGGACCCGAAGATGGACAGCGGTTGCTTGGAAGCCGAGGATTCGCTAGACGTGGACTATGATGTGACACGCCCTCTTCTCCCTGAGGAGGTTCTTGGCATAATCGACCAGCTGCTCTGCCACGAAGTCAGTATCGCGCCCTAAGATTCACCATCCCTGATTGCTGACTTTGGTTTGCAGATGGCCTGGCATGTTGGATATCCTCTCTCCCAGACGGTCCTCACAAGTGTGTACGTTGAGTCGATCCTCATGCCGAATCCTGCCACCATCGACGACGCGCACTTCATCAGAGATGCCAACGGTACGCCGCCGGCGCCGATGCATGCCGTTCTTCGAGCGTATTGCTTGGGACTCTTGAAGACGTGCGGCAATGTCAACGAGAGGATCAAGAATGAGCATTACTATGAAGTCGGTCTATTCGCAAACGACTCCTCACGCATCTCCCCAGCTAACCAGATGATATAGGAAGAAGACTTTGTCACAAACACCTACAACAGGATCCTCATCGACGACTTCAGCGTAGAGTCCGTACGCGATGTACTCAGGGACGCAAGCTTCATTCTGCGGCAACTGTCGGACTCAATACCAAAGGAGACCATTGACGCCCTCAACAACAGACTGCTTCTCCGGTACACGTTCCTCGCAGCCATAGACCATACGCAGTACCGGACAGATCCGGCCCTTATCAGAAGCCCCTGGAAAGAGGCTCTGGATTTGCTTCCTAGCATCAAAAGCACTCATTCGCTGGGTAAACCTGTACCGGAGGCTTGTAGTGCGAAACTCCAGCGCAAGCTCGCCAGCACGATGCCGCCGCGGCCCATTGTTGAGATAAGTTTTGAGGATGCCTTTGGACACCTCACGAAAATGATGAGCGACGGGTTGGAAGTCGTCGGAGTGCTCGATTACACCGACGCCATCTGCCTCCAGGTAAAAAACATATCCGCTCTCTCTCGGTCAACTACTCACACAAATGTCTAGACCTACGTTACAACCTTCCAAGCAAAGAAACCCCAGCCCCTAATCTTCGTTCGCACCCTCCTCCAAAGCTTCCTCTTCAAAGACATGCAAGTCCTCGGCCACAAATCCATCCGCCAGCTCCTCGACGACGACTTCGCCATCGTCTCCCTCCCCAACAGCCCCCTTCTCGACCGCGCCAACGACGACGTCGAGGCCCCACAGGACCCGCGCGTCGCCATCGCACAGAATATGGAATCTTTCCGCCTCCGCGCCGCCCAGCCCTACCTCGACATCCTCCGCACCTTTTGCCAGAACCGGTGCCGCGTCCGCCGCAACCTGTGCCACATTGTCCGGGACTGGGAGAACCTCCAGTTCGACGCCGAGGATTTCGACCAGGTCATCCAAGGCCTCGCTGGGGAGCGGCCCCTCGTGTATCACTCCGCCGCCGGCCAGCCCGTCGAGCAGTGGTCCCTCCCGCTCTCGTCGTGGGCCTACCTGTACAAGGTGAAGCAGATGGAGTGGATCGTCCAGCTCGGCTTCGAGCTCGAGGTTTACCAGCCAGACGAGCTGGCGGGCATGTACTGGTACCTCAACTTCCTCGCAAAGAACCGCCTCACGCACGTAGAGCGCATAAAGTCCTTTGTCGTCCGGAGCCTGAACCAAGCCCGCTCGGCCAGTAAACCATCATCATCCTCCTCCTCCTCCTCCTCAGGCCGCCTCACACCCGCCGCAGAAGCCCAATACACCAAAACCCTCGCCTTCCTCCGCCTAACCCTCCTCGACGCCGCCGCGACAGAAAGCCTCGCCGACGCCCTCTGCTGCCTCTACACCGTCCTCCACCGCCACAACCTCATCACCCCGCCGCCCCGGCCCTACAGCACCGACGAGCTCCGCTACGAGCTGCGGATGAAACCCTTTGCCGCCATCGGTCTGCCCTCCCTCCCGACGTTTGAGGAGTATACCATCGGCACCCAGCAGTCCGAGTGCCCCACGGCAGACCTGCTGGAGCTCGCTGACCGGGCAGTGGCGGGCGCGAAGAAGGCGCTGGAGGTCGTGAGCAAGTTTTCCGAGACGGAGGCGTTTTCTGTCGGGTCACATGATCGATGGTTGCCGTCGGTGAAGAACGCGCTCAAGTCGTGCATCGCGACGGGGCTGGCTGTCTCGGTTGTGCGAAAGGCGCTAGACAAGTCGGGCGCGGGCGAGGGCGCGGGCGGGGATCTGAAGCTCAGGGCCGAGGTGCCGACTCCTGATAAGTCATATCACGAGTGGTGGATCGTCCCGCGCATCATGCCCGTCGCGTGAGACTCTACCTTGAGCTCTGTTGATAAGAAACCGGTCCGAGGCACATGCTTAGAAGAAACGTAATGGATTTATCAATATCCTACTTTCTAAGGAGAAAAAAAAAACCTTCATAGAATACACATCCCTTCCCAAATTTGCCGGGAATCATGTGATACTTAAATCCCAAGGAACCCCCATGTGTCCAACGCTTTATCCAGCCCGTTTTTACCCCGTGTTGATATTCCCACAAATAAATCAATACAGGTATTTGTCTGTCATGAAAATGACTGCTTGCATATATGCTGAGCGGCCCACGCTGATGATGCGCATTGTTGCCTCTAGCTTGCTTATTCTATATATATGCGCTGTTGAATTCCCTCCACAAACCCGAGGTCAAATTATCTGACCTCGGGGCAGGGGGATTAAGTTTGGCTCTGTTGATGTGATTTACGCGCGCTTCTTGGCGGCAATCGTCCTAAGCTTGACGGTCTGCTCGTAGAGAACGTCCTTGAAGGCGAAGAGCAATGCGGCGGTCAACACACTCTGGGTGACCTTGGGGCCAATACCTGCGGAGTGGATGGTCAGCTTTGCGTCACTCGAAAAAGAAAAGAGACATTCGTCTCGGACCGACATCCGAGGTGTAAACTCACCCTTGTAAAGACCAGCGTAGCCCTCCTCCCGGATGACCCTGCTAATAGCCTGGGACATGCCCTCCTTCTTCTCGCCGTTGCCGGCGACGTGCATCTGGCTCTTGACCGTGATGTACGGGTAGGTAACCGAGGTCGCAAACAGCTTGCCTGCGGCGCCGAGGAAGAAGGCAATGGTCGGCGTGACCCGCCTCTTCTTCTCGACCGTGTTCTTCATCTGCTCAAAGAGGGTGTACTGCAGAATCGGGTTAATGACGAGCACCAGCGCCGGAATAACGCCGTTGAAGAGCGCCTGGGGGCCCTCGTTCTTGATGAGCGCGAGCAGGGTGCCAATAGTCGAGGGCGCCTTCTTGGGCTTCGCGACCTGGGCTTCCTCGTCGGTGGAGGCGCCGCCGGCTTCCTTGCCCTTATTGGCATTGTTCCCGCCGCGGGTAGTCATGCGGGTGTTGACGACCCAGATGGGGTTCGTGATGATGACGGTCGCGGAGCCGGCGATGGCGCCGGCGATCATGGACTCGACGGTCGTGAGCTTCTTGGAGGCGCGGCCGGCCTTTTCGGCGGCGGCCTCGAAGAAGGCGCGGGTGAACTCGTACCAGTAGTAGTAGACGAAGTTGGTGACGCTGATGCCGAAGAGGGCGGATTCGAGACCCGAGTAGAGGCCCGAGACGCCCTCGCGGGCGACAATCTTTTGGACGGCTGTGAGGAAGGCCGAGTCGGCGCGCTTCGATTCAACTTGGGCTCGGGTGGAGAGGGTGATGAGAGGGTAGCTGTTTGACGGAAGCACATGCGCGCGGGTTAGAAAAGGAGCCTCTCGTTTGGGGATACACGGCAGGAGGAGGAGCTTTGTGGTGGCCTTACGTCAGGGCCATGGAGAGGAGACCGCCGCCGGCACCGGCGAGGGCGTGGGCGACATTGTCGTTTTGGGGGAGCACTGGCTTCGACATTGTTGCTTGCAAATTGCGGTTGAGGTTGAGTGGATGGATGGTGGGTGTGGTGTCGTGGTATAGGTTCGTGGGAAAAGCTTCGATAGATGGGACGATGGTGTATTATCGACTTTAGAACTGCTGCTGCATCCAAATGCGGGAGACGATGGGGGGTGTAGATGGTATCGTTGTGACGGTAATAATAATGGTAGTAGGTAGGTGGTAAAGTTGCTGCTGACTGGCCCTATGCCATCTCAAACAAGAACGTTCGGTCCCTTTTGGGTTCTGGGGAGCCGAGGTCAAGCACGTTTTGAATGCCGAATGGGGGGGGGGAGGAGGGCAGTGATGGGCAGTCGTCGTCTGCCGCTAAGAACCTTAACCCCAGTTATGTCATTACCTGCCGTGCTATATATTTCATGCGCGCGATCACAGGACAAGGGGGCTGACGAAGGGGTCGCATGTGATGGGGCCCTCCTCCCCAGGCGTCTGGCACGGCCTGAGAATCCGGGTCCCTTCGGGAGCTCGTGGGGTCGGAGCTATTTCGGTGGCCGGGAAGATATGCTTCATTTGGGAAGAAAATACGTTTTCCCATCTTCCTTGTTGTTTTTAACTGTCAAGTGCACAGTGATGGAATTACATGACCTAGAGAGATAAAAACAGAAGCAGAGCCAGAACCAGAGCCATACAACAGTATAACCAAGAAATCCCTTCCTGTATAATGCGGGAGGAATTGGGGTGTATTCTTTCCGACAATGCCTCGGCACTGGTTCCGTAAGGGTGTGAGCCAGCCCAGGTAAGGTACCTTTCTAGACAAGCCGTTTTGTGTACACGGGAGTACTGCCGAGCATCGAGGATGAGAATGCCTATCGCATTCGCCTGATAGACAAGGGTAAGATTCTGAATATGACAGCTTCGCGACCCTCTTTCCTTGAGATAAGGCAAGGAAAGGAAAGCATCCACCAGCGGTATCCGTACGGATTCAAGGGCGCATCAGCCAATTCTTCTCGAAAACGGTTAAAGGGCCCGATATCCGTACCTAGGCAGGTTCCATTCCCAGACTGGGTGGGGACCTGGGTGGACCAATGGAACGGGGGAGAGATCGGAACAGCGGGGGAATGTTGTTCCACTGTCATCACAACCCAACCTACGCAGTACGTAGTAAGTACCTCACTGAGCAGTGAGGTCGGGTGGACTTGAACGTTGACGGGACAGGACCCCCGCGACCGAGGGGCCGCGCTAACCCGAAATTGGCTCTAAGTAAACAAAACAGATTTGACAACCTAAGTGGCCAGGGCCCGACCGTCCCTCTGTGCAGACAGACTGCAGCCCGCATGTACACGGCCACACCACTTCGCGACGACCCTTATCCAGTGCATAGAATTTGACATATTCTTTTGCTAGTTTCACGCGAAGGCCACTGAGCCTAGTTTCCTGTCGTCCTTTCTTCTTCTTTTGCAGAAAAGTCTATGCGACAACCATAGCGCGCGGCCTTTTTTTGTCCTCTCTTGGCTCTTTTTGCATTTGCATTCGCGCATTTCTCAAAATGGCGACGCCACGACCTAGAGGCGGTAGCGACGAGCTGCTTTCGTCGCCAGACCCGCTCAACGACACCGTCTCCTCGGCGCTCTACCCTTCGTCGCGTCGCGTAACTCGAAGTCAGAGATCACAACGACTCTTCTCCCTCGGCGGCAGTAGCACTTCGCCTAGAAAGCAAATGTTCGAGCTCGAGGTTGGAGACGACCGTCAGCCCAAAAGGCTGCTAGTGACCGTTGAAGCCGAAGGCGATTACGAGAATGTCGGTGTCGGGAATGTTGGGCGCAGACTGTTCAACGCAGATACACCCACTCTTAGCCGCGGCGCATTCACAACAACAGTTCCTTTGGCCGGTGATAGGAAGAACACGGCCGTCAAGACACCCGCGCGGAGGGGTCGACCTCCCAAATCTGCCGGAACACCAAAGACCGGTACGGCAACGAAGAGGAGGGCCACAGCATCTCCACGAAAGACACCAAGACAAGCCCGCAGAGTCAAGACCATCACAGACTCAGATGGCTTAGAAACCGACATCACTATTCAAGGCACACCGAGATCAACCACCCGCCCAAGACGGGCCACCAGTCGCCAACCGAGCGAAGTCCCCCAAGACCCAGCCCCGTCTTCGATACCCCCCAGCACAACCCGGCGTCGCGGCCGCCCAAAGCGCGTCGAATTTTCAGATCAACCTGTTGAAACAGTCGAGGACGATGTTGACCTTATTGACCTTGGCGGCGTGGCGCCATCTGACGACGGTCTCGCAGCGAGCATGGAAGACATGATTGTAGAAGATCCCACGCCGAGGCGAGAGCCCCCCGCAAACCCGATGCCGCAATCCGAACCAGATATCTGGATGCAAACAATGTCAGACCAAGCAACACCACGCGCATCAACACAAGAAAACCCAATTGCCCTAAGCCCGACACCAGCTTACATGCAAGACAAGAGTCCAACGCCATCCGAACAGCTTCTTTCCGAATCCGAGAACGAACCCGCATACAACGAATATGACTTTGCGCCCGGCGCGCCCAGCGACATCTCGTCACTGATTGGCGATAACGACGACAATGACGAACTTCGTGATCAGGATACCGTTGCCCAGGGCGAGGATTTCAGTATGATTTTCGCCAACTCCATTCCCTCCATGAGAGGCCACATGAGCATGCATGACCTTCGATCTGAAGATGTTGGTGAGGAGACTAGCTTGATCGTCAACCAGACCCTCGAGACTTTGAGACGAAGCGGGGCCCTGCACATTGATGATGATGAGGATGAGATTGAAAGCATTCCCACCAAGCAGCCCTCACCGGTACAAGATCTTCAAGCTCAAGAGGAAGAAGTTCAGTCGCAACAGGAGATTCAAACGCATGTGGAATCTGTTGTGGACACCAATGTTGAAGAAATCGAATCTCCGGTCGCTCTTCCGTCGCTTCCTCGTCCGGATCTCCCACCTCCATCTCTCGCATCCAAGGAGAAGTCACCAAGCAGAGGATACCACTCACCAGGCCGAGCTAGAAGCAGTCCGCGACGCAAATCTATTCCGCTCAGCAGACAGCTCATGGAGTCCAAGGTCAAGCAGATGGATGCGGAGAACTCCAGGCTGGAGGAATCGGGAATGGACACCTCGCAGATTGACAACTCGTTTTCCAGCGTACCCTCGAGGGTTTTGGATGCAGCGACACCCGGTGCTAAGAGCACCAGGCGGATTCCTATGGTGAACGATGAGATGTCTGTCATGTATGTAGACGATTTCTCTGAGATCCCGGAAGCCTATTTGGAGGCTGCTACGCCTGGGAGACCGAAGCTGTCTGAAGTCAATGACCTTGAGACGCAGAACGAGCTTGAGCAAGATATTGAGCAAGAGGCCGACATCACTCAGGCACACGAAGAGACCTTGATGGGAGAGGTACACGAAAAGACTATTATGAATGAGGCACACGAAGAAACCATTACGGACGAGGCACACGAAGAAACCATTATGAATGAGGCACCAGACGAAGATCACGGGGAAGAGGACGTCGAGGTTGAAGAAGCGGAAGAGGTGGAGGAAGAGGCTCGTAAGAGTTCACCCAAGTCCGCAGCCCCATCTATTGCGAGTGTTTCTTACACTCGATCAGACTCAGCAAGAATGCCGACACCGGACGACACGCCGTCACCCGCCGATATTCCCGTCCCTCAATCAGACGCCAAGACTATCGAAGCAGTTCAAAGTTCGCCGACTGCTGCGTATTCTCAGTTGCCTGATGAGCCAAGCTCTGATCTCCCGGTCCCTGACTTGACAGCTAGTCTTCCTGCGGCCTCAAATGAGTACATCACGCCCCTTGCCCCTATCTCGTCCCCGATCCCGTCGCCCGATGTCAACCTCCTGGCCCCTCGCGCAGCATCACCGGACAACGGAGCTCGCCCTACGCTATCTCCTATTGTGAGGGCTGGACGGGCTCTGCAGAGCGTTACCTCTGATGCATCATCACCTCCTCGCCAGAACTCTCTTGGTAGTCCCTTCAGGCCTACAACAAGCAGCAGCCAGCCTCAGTCTGCCGCCAAATCGACTCGCAGCTGGACTCAGCCGTTGTCCACCTTGATCCAGGCTGGAGCTCAATTCTTTGGTTCCCCAACTCGCACCGCACCGCAGCCTCAGCCTCAACCCCCGGCGCCGCAATTGTCAGGACAGCCCTTTGACGATCCATTTGGCACCGAGAACGACCACACTGGCCAGCCTAGCTTTATGGAGGCCTTGAGTAAGAGCATGCGGACTTCTCCCGCCAGAGAACCCGAGGTCTCGTTCTCAATGTCGGGATCCCTACAAGTCGCTCCAGGTGATGAAGTCGACGAGATGAGCTGGATGCAAGAGGCTCCTGCCCCACGCGAACAGCCTTTTGCTCAGTCACGTTCATTCCATTCTAGTACGAACACGGCTTCTAGATCTATGCACAGTCGGCGACAGAGTTTCGAGATCAGTCTCGTTAGTCCGGACCGTGCCGAGGATACCGAAGTCGAAGAAGAACAGCCTGAAGGAGAAGAAGAGGAGGATGATGACATCTGGGCAGTAGAAGCATCGCGTCCGGCTTCGAACTCGGACCGCCAACAGTCTTTTGCGAAGAAATCAGTACCGTCTCTTCCTCCGAGGCGAGCAGCTATCCCGAGTCCCTGGCAGAAATCCGCCGAGCCTGTCCCCAAGCAGACGCTGTTCACGCCGGCGGCGGCACGAAACCGAACGTCAGACTTTGCCGATGGCGAGGTGGAGGATTTCTCCATGCTTTCCCAACAACAGAGCCGCCAGAAGCAGATTCCTCAGAAGGCTTTTGAAGTTGCCCAAAGATCGTCCGCCAAGAAGGATTTGGCCGCTTTCTTCTCGTCTCCCAATCTCCTACCTGGGGCAGAGGGCGTCAAGGAGATCTTGGACAAAAAGCGACTAAATCTTCAAGTTGGTGGCGCTGCTCAACGCCCCGAGCGGGTTGATACCGGCCTCGAGACAAACTCCATGTTCCCGTCTATTCCGCAGAAAGCTTTTGCCCCCTCAGCCAGCGGCCGCTCGGATCTCTTTTCACCCGCGAAGCCTTCGGCGACCAAGTCTGTCGCTGATACCTACGATTACTCGGATCCCGTATCGGCTATCAAGCCGTCTGTTCTCGGGAAATCGGTCATGGACACCCGTCGCGAGCTGTTCGCGTCAACATCGAACCCCCGTAGTAGCATCAGACACCGGTCCGAGATTCCAGACTCTCAACCCAATATGTCGGACGAGGTCTCATTCCCCTCCGTGCCCCAAAAGAAGAACTTTACGCCAAACGTGGGGTCCCAAAAGACGACCGCCCAGAACAATCTCTTCAGCAAGGCCCCCTCAGCGGCGCCGGTGCCCTCCTTGACGCCGGTGCGGATGCAGCTCACGCGCGCCGATATCCAGAAATGGCAAGAGAGTAGTGCCTCTGCCATTGCGGAAAGCTCGCCCACCGCCACCGGCGCCGCCACATCGGAGTCGGAGTCGGAGCATCGCGCCCGTATCCTCCGCCCACTGCCCGACAGGAACATGTCGCCGACAAAGTCATGCTTACGGTCCCCACTGAAGCCCCGCACGCCAGGCCGCGTCGTCGAGTTCACTAGCAGCGTCCTCTCGCCGCTCGCGCAGGCGCAGGTCCGCGCAGAGCGGCGGTTATCTGCTAGTTCGAGCGGGAGCGCCGCTGCTGCGCAACAGCAGCAGCAGCAGCGTATCGCCGCCATCATGGAGGAAGAAGAAAAAGAGAATGGTGACGCTGCTGCTAAAGCCGAAGTTGAAGCCGTTATGGAGGAAGATCAGGAGATGAACGAGGACATGGATGTCTCCATGACCGACGCACCACAAACGCTCAACGAAACCCAGAAACAAGCACTCCTCATCCAAGAGCAACAGCAAGAACCCCAGCGTCTCTCGCAGACAATGTGGTCCCGTGACCACTGGCTCCTCCTCGACGACATCATCCAGCTCCGCCGCGAGGGCCCCTTTGATTTCGAGTTTCCCGATGACTTCACGAGCAAGTCGGCCTGGCTCCTCGGCCGGTCTGTCAACTCGCACGGCGCCAGCTTGAAGCTGGAGCAGTGGCACCTCGACGTCGTGGACGCGTTCCAGGCCGAGGTGGGCGTGTGGAGCGAGGAGGCGCTTGCCAAGAGGGTGTTTTCGCTTATTGTTGGAGAGGAGCTCCGGAGGCAGGGAAGGGTGCCCAAGGCTCCTTCGGTGCGGTTTAGGTAAAAAGAGAGGGATTGGCTGCGCATAAATCACGAGGGTGATGGGTGTGCATATTGGGCGTTTGGTTTTTGGGGGGCAAAGTGTCACTGCTTATTGTTGCAGGACGTATGAATTTCATGATAGTCTCATGGTTAATGAGTGTATACAGGCTCACTACGTTTTTAAGGGGAAGGTTTGGGAGGCTGGGCGTCATAGGGTATCGTTATGTTTTTCTTGTTTTTTTGTTCATTGTCTTCATTGGTCACTCGGGCATCTTGCCCGCAAATTGTTAGGATACCACTTCACCAGAATGAATTTCTGTCTCATGCACCGCCGGCATTCGTGTCTATGGTAATAGTACAGTCCCAAATCCATTCCGCTTTGCCCATCTCCGTTTGCCAACCCTGGACGCCTGCCTTGCCATTTACTCGAGCATGGAGGCCTGGTTGGTGTAGAGGACATCCACCACGCTGCTCAACTTCTCAACCGTAGCCAGGGCGTGGTCGTATGCGCTGTCGCGCTCTGTCTCGTCAAAGATGATGAGGCATCCCGCGCCCTGGTCCAGCACACCGATGATGACCTTGTCCAGGATCATCTGGGACAGCTTGCGCTCCACCTGTTGCGTGTCGAGGCCGACCATCTTTGCAATGTGGCTGATTTCGACGCGGGAGAAGGGCTCGATAACCTTAATAAGGTTCTGCTCCAACATGGCGTCATACAGACGTCGCAGGTGGTTGCGGATGAAAGCGTCGCTGCCGAGCTGCTCACGGTAAGACTGAAGGGCCTGCTCGTACTCCTCCAGGGACCGGTTCGAGTGCGCACGGGCAACGGCCTTCATGGCTTCGAGGTTCTTGCTGGCGTACTTTTGTGCCTGCTTGGATGTCATCAGGTTGTTGACGTCGTCGGCCAGGTTCAGCATGATCTTGCACAGAAGCATGTACTGGAGGGCGGCCGTGGCCTTGACGGACTCGTCCTGGGTGTGGTAGCCATCGAGGGCCTCGATGAAGTAGGAGAAGGCAGTGTTGAAGTCCTTGTCTTCGGCGTGGAGCATACCGCTCTGCATATCGAGGTGTGCTTGGAGAAGAGGCGGGGTGTAAACGGAGGCGGCGCTTGTACGGGCACTGGTAAGGGCGGCACGGGCCTTGGGGATGTTGCCGAGGGCGTGGTAGACACGCGACTCGAGGAGCTGGACTTCAACGAGGACGAGCTTGTCGTCCAGGCGCTTGAGCTCACGGAGGAGGCCGTTGATGAGGGTGAGTGCGTCGTAGTAGGATTGCTTCTGCATAAGGAGCGCGACCAGGCGGGTCTCGAGGTTCTGGCGCAGGAAGCTGCGGCGCTCCGAGGTTGCCCATTCTATACATGACTTGGTAACTGCGATCTGGATGTCGGTGCTGCCCTCAATCTTCTCGAAGAGATCAAGCAGGGAGCGAACTGGAGAGGTTTTAGTTAGTCACGCCGCTCTATCACAACTGGGAGGAACACCGAGATAAAGCCATACCCAGCTTTGCTGTCTTTGCCTTGGCGAATGACGAAAGGGTTGTCCGGCTTTTTGTGATCAGGTCAACGAGCTCCTGCGTCTTCCTAAGCGGGCTGTTAGCAAACACGGGGCCCCACGATGTCATCACCGGACCAAGGAGGGGCTCACTTCTCATCCCGGTACAGCTCTCCCAAACCAAGCAACGCCGTCTCGTACTCCTTCACCGCTGCATCGGAGGTTGCGGAGGAGGGGGGCTGAGAGATGATTTCCTTGAAGAGCTGCTCTGCCTTTCTGGGGTCTGTCTTGGCCGCCTTCTGTGCCTCCTGCACCCTCGCCGATTCGCCCTGAGCCATCCTGACTGATTGATTTGACGTCGTATCGGGAATTTCGGGTTCGAGTTGGATTGCTGGACTGAGCTTGTATGTCGTCGGTGGTGGGAATTGGTGGTTTGCAGAAAGATCGCCGGATTCGTGGTGGGTTGAAGATAGCTAGGTACAGTGTCAAGAGCTCCAGCCGCCGCCTTCAGACAGGTCCAGGTTGCCATGACCGACGCAAGCCCGGCCAGCACCTTCGGTGGGCTGAAAGGGCAGGGGCCACACGGACCGAGTTTAATCCGCCACCCAATCTGATTGGCAATAATCCCCCGATAAGACCCCACCCCCACTTAAATTTTGGGAGAAGTTCGATGAGACTTTCAGGACCATTGAGGATTCTATGGTCAAGCAAGACACAGCATCGTGCCCGCCAATATGAAGATCAAGGCCATTTCTCGGAGCGTGGAGGCCTACCAGCCTCCAGGCGCAACTGCGCAAAAGCTTCCTCGGTAATTATACACTACTGGCATCTGCAGACTTGGACTAATCGTAATGCAGTAACCTCGATCCTGCCCAGCATCCTATGGAGCGCGCCAGAGAGTAAGTAGGCTTCGCCACATGCGGTGATCCAAGCTGACGAAAATATATAGGTACACCAAAGCCCTGAATGCTGTCAAGCTCGAGCGCATGCATGCCGCGCCCTTTGTCGGACAGATGGGGAGCGGCCATGTTGAAGGAGTACGTCTAAATCGAGAAGCAGATCGCCTGTTGTCCCCAGATTCTAATAATTGAACCAGGTGTACTCGATGGCCAAAGACCCGAACTCTCTCAAGCACATGGCATCGGCCAGTGCCGACGGTGTGATCAAAGCCTTCGACCTGACGAGCCGAGCCGAGATTTGGCAGACGAAGAACGCCCATTCCAACATCGTGCGGAGTCTCTGTTGGACGAAGGACGGAAAGCTTCTTAGTGCCGCGGCGGACAAGACCATCAAACTTTGGGATCCCTATAACACGCCAGGCGACTCGCCCCCAATTTCATCATGGGATGGCACCAACGGTTTCCTCAGCTTGTCCCATCACCGGACGCGAAATGCCTTTGCGGCCTCCTCTTCCTCCAGCGAGATCGCCATCTACGACCTTGAGCGACAGAGCGCAGCACCCGAGGTGCTCCGCTGGCCGAATGCGACCGATTCTATCAACTGCGTTTCGTTCAACCAGGTCGAGCAATCCATTCTTGGAAGTACCGGCGACGACAGGAGCATCGTCCTCTGGGACGTTCGTACTGCGATGCCCCTAACCAAGACGACGATGACGTTTACCTGCAACTCTCTTGCCTGGAACCCGATGGAAGCTTTCAACTTTGTTGTTGGCAGCGAAGATCACAATTGCTACGTAAGTCATCTGAAAAGTTGGACGACCCCTGAACATACAGCTAACAAGAAGCAGATGTTTGACATGCGCAAGTTCGACAGAGCGCTCAACGTCTTCAAGGGCCATGTCGCCGCCGTCATGAGCGTCGAGTTCAGCCCGACGGGTGAAGAATTGGTTTCCGGATCCTACGACCGAACAGTGCGCATCTGGAACCGCGACCAAGGACACTCCCGCGACATGTACCACACCAAGCGCATGCAGAGGGTGTTCAGCACCATGTTCTCTCCCGATTCAAAGTATGTCCTCAGTGGTTCCGATGACGGCAACGTCCGCGTCTGGAGAAGCAACGCCACGGACAGATCAGGCATCAGATCCGCCAAGCAGAGACAGGCGCTCGAGTACAACGAGGCCCTGGTTGAGCGATACAGCCACATGCCGGAGGTTAGACGCATCAAGAAGCACCGTCACCTGCCCAAGGTCATCAAGAAGGCAGGTGAGATCAAGAACATTGAGCTCTCGTCGATCAAGAGGCGCGAGGAGAACGAGCGCAGACACACCAAGAAGCAGTTCGAGAGGCGGAAGGGTGAGAGAGAAAAGCAGATCTTGGCGCGTGAGAAGTAGGCGCATCCTGGATTTGCCATTGTTGGCGTTGTTCCTTGCATTGTTCGGCGTTGGGGCGGCTTGTTATGTCCATGTAAAAAGGAAAATGGGGGATAGTCGTGTGAAAAGTGCAACTTAGATAGGGTTATACCACGGATCAAGTCGTTTTGATCAAAATATGTAGCAATGATCATGAAATAGAATCATGAAGCAGGCCTATTAATCTCGTTCATTTGCTCGGGACTATGCAATGAAGCATCCAAAGCTGGGTCGCCGGCCTCCGCATGTTCTTGACGGCCGATATGTCCGCCGGCCTCGGATAAGCTTAGCTTGACGGCGGCACTGAGTGGGGTCTCGGCTCGTCTGGCCGTGGAAGATGGGCGGCTGCCAGGGGCTCCGGGGCGTTTTAGTGGTCGTCCCACCAGGGGTTTCCAGGGGAAGCTGCCATCAGGGGAGGGGGCCCCTAGGGCGCTTGGCCACCGTTTCAACGCCTCAAGTCCGTCCACATGTGACGAGTTCTCGCTAGAGCGTCAAGCTCCCTTGGTGGCCCAATTGAGGTTTGGCTGTGCGCTTCTTCGTCTCATCTTTGTGCATTTTTCCACTTCCAACGCTGGACGACACCTCTTCACTTTTTTTTTCCCAGAACCTCTTCTTTTCATACTCCCATCCTAATTTTCAAAGTTGAACGAAGCGCGACACATACACGACCTCACTTAATAATCGACTCTCGGAGACGACGCAGAGCTCCTACATAGCTCGACCCCTCGCACCACCACCACCACCACCACCACCACCACCACCATCCTCCCCCAGACGCCCGCGATGGAATACCCGCGCCCACCCCAAGGCGACTCGTGGTTCGCGCCGCTCTCCCTCGACCTCCTCGTTAAGGTCTTCAAAATCACCTTCTTCCACCCCTTCGTCTCATGGATCATCCCCCTCTGCTTCCGCGCCCAGGCCCTCCGCTGGGACGCCCCGCCCATGCTCGTGTCCATCGCCTGGGCATGCTTCATCACCGTCTGTTGGATCGCGCAAGCGGTCAACCTGCGCATCGCCTACGGCCTGCCGCGCGAGGTCGACCTCACCGAAGAGGTTATCGTCATCACGGGTGGCGCCAGCGGCTTGGGTCTCCTCATCGCCGAGGTGTACGGCATGCGCGGCGCGACTGTGGCGGTGTTGGACGTCAATGACATGGAGAACGGCGAGGCGCGGGGCGTCACCTTCTACAAGTGCGATGTGACGGACAAGGCGCAAGTTGCGAGGGTCGCGGCGCAGATTGAGAGAGATGTGAGTTTACCAACCACTGACAAGGCCGCAATGCGCCATGGCAAAGACAGAAAAACTGATATTGTTCTCCCCTTCCAGCTCGGTACGCCAACCGTCCTCATCAACAACGCCGCCATCGTAAAAGGCAAATCTCTCCTCGACCTCGAGTTTGAAGAGATTGAAAAGTCCATCACCACAAACCTGACAGCCCACTTCTACACCCTAAAGACCTTCCTCCCGCCCATGATCCGCGGCGGCAACGGCGGCACCATCGTGACAATGTCCTCGGTTCTCGGCCACCTCGGCGCCGCCTCCCTGACAGACTACACTGCCGCAAAAGCCGGCGTCACGGCCCTGCACAAGTCCCTGACCGCCGAGCTCGCCGCTTCGCACCCGGAGATCCGCACCATCCTCGTCGAGCCGGGCCAGTTGTCCACCCCGCTGTTTTACGGCGTGCAGACCCCGCACTCCTTTGTCGCGCCCGTGGTCGAGCCCGTTGACGTCTGCAAGGAGGTCATTGCGGCTATCGACGCCGGTAAGAGCGCGCACGTTGCGATGCCATTGTATGCGCGGTGGATTCACTGGTACAATGTGCTCCCTGTCGCCGTCCAGCAGATTGCGAGAAAGGTTGCGCGGGTGGACACATCCATGCAGACGTTCATCGGCAGGCAGGAGAGGGGGATGAGCGAGAAGAATGGGAGTTTGATCTAGATCATGTGTCGTCTCTATGTTCTCCTGCACAAATATCTAGGGGAGACTCCGCGGTGCCGGCACCGAATGTGGTTTCTCTGTAATGCCAACAAAAGGCGGGACATATAACATGACCAAAGTCTCAGGACATTTATGAATGAAAATATACTATAATTTCAAAAGAACATACCCTGGATCTTGTATATCTCCAAGTCCCTCAGGTGCTCGCCTCCTTCTCTCCCGAGCCGGACAGGTCCTGGGCAGGCGACACCCTATTCAGCCCATCGAGCTTCTTATACGTCAGGGCATCGAGGTCAATTCCATCGAGGGCACGCGCCTTTTTCTTCTCGTTAGCTTCTCTACCTCACCTCATTGGAAAAAACACGCATTGTGAGCGGCGAGGGGGGGATCGTACGCTGATACCATAAAAATCCTCCGTCAAAAAGTCGATGCCAAGACTCGATCCGCAAGCACCGCAAAACATCTGGTCCTTGGTCTTGGTGTTGAACCGGTAATTCGTGCACTTTTCGCGCGAGCCGTCGTGCCATGTGACGTCCTTCTTATTTGGGTCTTTTGTTTTGGAAGTCATAGAGTGTTAGTGCACATCTTATGCGTCCACACACCCTGCCCCATGGTAACATGCCATGAAGGGCTTTGGGTGATGATTATAGTCTTGAGATGGAGAAGAAGAGGAGGGGAGGGGGGGAAGAAAACTTACAAATGAGAAGGTACCCGCTACGCCGACAAATAGAACAGTTGCAGTTCAGGACCTCGTACCCGTCCTCCAGCGGCGGCGAGAGCGTGAGGGAGAACTTGATGGTGCCGCAGTGGCAGCTTGCGTCGTATGTCTTTGACGGCTTGGGGGTTTCTTCTGACGACATTTTTTGTTTGGAATGTTCGTTTTTCTTTACTTTCCGGTTTTCGTTTTTTGAGGATGGTTTGTTTGTGTGAGAGGAGTCGAGTCCGTTGGTAACTTCTGGCCTTTCGACTTTGTTAGCCGTGGTTTGGGAGTGCGAGTGAAGGTTAGTTTCGAGTGTGAGTGAAGGAGTGAGAGGAGGGGGGGTTGAGTGGTGGTGGTGGTGATATGACGCTGCTTACTTAACGCAGCGATTATATGTTAAATTTCGCTTACTTGACTTGGAGTATTTCAGTCGTTAAACTTGGGATAAGGAGGCTTCGGAGACTCCATTCACGGACAATGAGGGTTGACGAGTTGGGATGAGAGTACTTGACATGACTCAAATAAGTATAAGAGAACTGTGAACTTGCAAGGTAATGTCATAGAGACGGGGCGATATTATCCAAAGGATTCACTGTTTAATAAGAAGGCTCTCCGAACCCAGCTTATCAACAACACAGCCACCATTTCCCCCCTCACTCTTTCATTCCCCATCCCGTTTGGTGTAAGCAAGATTCTCGGAGCGTTAGACTAGCCACCTTGCTTGCCTAGTCACAGTGAATCCATACCTTCGATATGGACAATATTAGAAAAATGACACGGGATTCGGCGCCCCTCTACCCCACGTATCTCTCTGAACTTCACGTTTAGTTGATATCGGTTGCACCAAACCTCTGCTTTTTTGTACGTTGCGTTGTGAATCAGAATTGGTACAAACCCTCAGGTATCAGGAAGTGGACAGAAATAGACAGCGACAGGATCCATCGTCCCGCATCGTTCGACCTGCCGCATCGGGCCATGTCACCGCGTCCGCCCGTGCCCTGCGAATGAGGGGGGGGTGAGGGATCCGAAGAATGCGGGCAGGGCCCGACACTAGGGTACGGGTATTACCAACCACATGGCAAAGTAAGATGCCGATTTGCGGGGTCTTGGCAATGAAGTGGTCAATATCTATCCCATCGACTTTGCTGAATGGCGTCGCTACACCCGTTTTCAGTCCTTCTCCAAGTTCGCTCCATTTCGAGATTAGTCGTGGGCGGTTAGTAGGGGAAGAAAAGAGCGAAACTAGAGAGAAGAGATGGATGACTATCTAGCACTTGATAGGATGAAGAGAATTAGTGAGGACGAGGGAGAGGGGGAGGGCTGATATGTTGTTGGCTTTTGGGAGGTGAGGAACATTGCCATCTTATCACGAAAAACAACATACAGAACTCATCATTTTAAAGACCAAGGTTATTCAATTTTACGTAGTATTAAGTTGGTAGGGGTTGTGATTAGTCGTTAAAGGCTACGGTAAGGTTTTGGTGTAAGACAACAGATTTGTGGTATCAGATGAACGATGCTCGTCATAATCTTTAAAACAAGAGATGAAATGCCCCCCCAAAAAAGTCCCAGCTTAAACTTTTTCTTCCTCCATGGTATCATCAAACTCCAGTGGCCACATCAGAAAAAAAAGACAAGATTCGCGTCTTTATATATACGAGCTCAAATTCGCAAAATGCTTGGGGGAAAAGGTTTCGTTCGGATGGTCAAGATCAAGATCAAGATAATGCCTCTTTAGACGGCATTCTCAGCCTTGTCGCCGCTCGTCCTGGCTCTGCTCGCTTCCATGGCCGCAATGGACGGCGGCTTCTCGTTGTCCTGGTGGAGATGGCTGTTGTGCCCATTGCTCAGCGGCGCAGGCACCTCATCATCATCAGGCTCATCAGCCGGCGCGGCAAACGTCGGGGCGTACGCAGACTTGGCGCGAATCTTGTGACCCCAGATGTAAAAGATGACGGGGATCGGCACGAGCGCGATGGCGACGCAGCCGAGCAAGGTCGAGGCCCATTCGATACCCATGCCGTTGAACATGTAGCTCGCAAACAGCGGGAAGCCGGCACCGCAAAGGGAGCGGAGGAAGGTGTTGCCCGCGATGGCGGAGGCGGCGAACATGAGGTAGGCGTCAACGAGGTAGTTGAGGGCCTGGAGGAAGATGGACATGAGGCCGAAGCCGGTGAAGAGGCCGCTGAGGGTGGGCACGATCCAGTGGATGTCGGCGCGGTAGCCGGACCAGCCGAACCAGAAGATGCCGATGGCGAAGAAGACGCCGCCGGCGATGACGCTGGGGAGACGCCACTCGGGGATGGGGACGCCGTTGTTGGCTTTGAGCTTGCGGAGGTACCACGGCTGCTGGAGGAGGACGGTGACGCCGGCGATGAGCTGGCCGGTGATCATGCCGAAAAAGGTGAGGCCGGATTGGCCTGCGCCGAAGCCGTGGACGCCGCGGAAGACAAAGGGGTAGGCCGTCAGGAAGAGGTAGAGAAGGCCGTAGATGAAGGCCATGTAGACGGACAAGGCGGTGACGATGGGCTCACCAAAGAGGAGGCGCATGGGGCGGGAAAAGTTCTTGTTGATGAGCTCCTTAAGGTCGATTTCGATTTCTTCTTGCTTTGCGTGGATGCCCCAGTTGCGGGTGCGGCGGCGCAGCTCCGAGGCCTTACTGACGAGGATGACGGGCGGGTACGTCTCCTCGAGGAAGAAGAGGTCGAGGAAGAAGGCGAGGAAGCCCATGAAGGAAGGGATGTACTCGGTCCAGCGCCAGCCGAGGTACGACTCGACGATGAAGCCACCGATAAAGGGCGCCAGGAGCGGGCCGGTGAAGACGGCCATGGAGAAGACGGTGATGGCGGTGCCGCGGGTGCGGTTGTCAAACATGTCGGAGAAGACGGCGGCGACGACGGCCAGGGGGCACGCGCCGAAGAAGCCGGCGAAGAAGCGGCATATCAAGATCGTTTGGAGGTCCTTGGCGACGGCGCAGCTGATTGTGAAGATGGAGAAGCCAAACATGGAGAGGACGAGGGGTAGTCTGCGGCCCCTCAGCTCGGAAAGGGGCGCCCAGAGGGTCGGGCCGAAAGCGAAGCCCAGGACGTAAAAGGAGACGCCGAGGGTGCCGACGGTGGCGGAGACGTTGTATTCCGTTGCGATGACTTGCGTCGCTGCTGAAAAGATACTCGAGGTGAAGGCCGACGTCATCGTGGTGTAGCCAAGCATTGCGGCTGTAAGCAACCTGTGGGCCAAGACATGTCAGTTACTAACACCCCCCCAAAGCTGTCTGGGAACAATTGCATGACAATTACGATTGGCAACTTACTTCTTCTTAATCGGCCAGTTCTGCGCGTGCAGGGGATCCTCCGGCCCGTCAAATTCTACAACATAGTCCTCCTGCTCTGGCAGAGGCGGCGGGTAGGGCTTGCCGGCGCCCATGGCCGGCAGAGGCCTCCTCGACTCCCTGCTCTTGATGCTGCGGCCGACGGTGTTGGAGTGCTGGCTGCGGGCGGTGGCGATGCGGCTCAGGGCCGTCGGGTGACGCTCGAGGTCGTTCTGGGTCGAGACGCGGCTGAGGCCGGTGCCGGTGCGGTACGCGGCGGTGCGGTCGGCGGCGTGCGAGGCCGTGGAGGAGGAGGTGGAGGAGGAGGAGGCGGAGAGGACCCGTTCGATCTCGTGGCTTTCGCGGCCGTGGTAGCGGCTTGGAGAGGCGGCGCGCTCGGCGTCCGCGATTTCGCGGTCGGCTTCGTCCATTGCCATTGCTGTGGACGATGTCGCTGTGGGCAGGTGGGTGTTGGTTTGGGTGTTGTCTTGAGGTGCTGATGCTGGCTGAAGATGCCTTAACAGAGTGAAGAACGGATCAGGGTGTCTCGCGACAGATCAGACTGTATGTATATAACGCCAATGGCTTGAGACTTGTCTTGGGCGCAATGTGGTACTGGAGCAAAGAGCTCATGCAAGGGTGCGTTGTGCTGACAGGTAGCTTGGAGCTATTATGAAGGCGGCGCGCCGAACTAGCTACGTCAATCTAGTGTAATGTGGAATAAAGGGCCGGCGATATGATGTAGGGCCGTCTCCCAAGGTAATGTAGCGCCAGTCAGATTTGGGTGGAGGTCTAGATCGGGGACAATGGCAAAGAGTGCGCGTGGATGTATCCGTAGGAGGGGTATAAACTGGAGATGATGTTTGCGCGATCAGGCAAGTTGGGTGGTCCCTTTCGTCTTATGAATAATGGATTTGTCTGGGCGTTGTCTGAAGATCCAAAGATATATGAGGGGGATGGGGAAGATGAAAGATCAGGTCAGATGAAGAAGCAGTGTATTAGTGAGGAAGTGGGTTGAGAGAGTGGATGGGTAAGCGGACTACAGGCGCGCAAAGGCCGAGGCGAGGGTACTATGTATGGAGATAGGAAGACGAAGCAAGACGAGGATGAAGAGAGAGGAAAAAATCAGATTTGTCAAGTCAGGTGTGAATGACTCTGCTCTCAGCCGATGGATGCGAGCCGGTACATCTCCCGGGTGACCAAGCCAAGGGGGAAAGAATGTGTGAGGACTCGAATAGGTTAATAGCAAATGGGTAGCAATGGGGTCGGCAAAGTCCCACTTGGGGATGCCCAAAAGGAGAGATCCATGGAGCATCCGCGGCCGACATGCCTGCTGAGATTTGCTTCTGGCAGTGCAATTTTTTTTTTTCTACTTGCGCCCATACTCCGTACAAAACATGGAACGACTCGGCAAGGAGTTCGGCATCATAAAAGAAAAGCGCGAACGACACGAGCCGAGTGGGAAAAGGGTGTGGCCCAGGCACAGGTACAATCGCAGAAAGGAGGAAAGACAAGTGGGCCCGAACGGGGCCGGAGGCGGTAGCCGGCACTGCAACCTGGGAATGGATTTTTGGTGCTGGAACATGGAACCAAGCCGAGGGATGGGTAGGTGGGGTTTCCATCTTGGCCTTTTGGTTTGTCAGTGTCGCGGCTTTTTTTTTTTTTTCCCCTATGCAGCCGTACCCTTCCCTAGCCCGATCGCGTAGGATCGATATAGCCCAGGGAGGCAGTGTCGTTACAAATTCGATATGCTGCACGAAATTTCTTACAAATGCGGTTCGTTCTTAGTCACTTTTCAAAGTCTAATGTATACAGAGGCATCCGCGCAGTAAACAGAGGGAGAAAGTATGGATTAGACTTCCGTCATCCAATAAGATTACCAACTTCATCCATCCGGGAAGGAACACTCAATCGAACTTTTCGCAGAGTTTCTGCACACCACAGTCCTCCATATGGCTCGAGCAGAGTAGTCACGCCAGTTGCACGGCAAATCAGAGTTTACCATGATCTTCCTAAACCCGCGCCCTAAACCAGTAAGCCAATTAACTAGAGTTTTTGCTAACCAGTCGGATCCGACGAGAACCACGGTACAGAATACTTCGTACGGATGTGAGAGAAAGATTAACACCGGGTATGATGTCACTGGGGCTGGCCAAGTCTGGACTTAAGCAAAAGGCGCGGTGCGTCCGAGAAAGAGAGAAGACGACGGAATCCGTATGTACACTACGGTAAAAAATTACCTATCACGGCAATCGACTCCACCTAGTGTCAATTCGTTTCCAGACTCCAGTTGTAAAAAGTGTCACTCTTCAGGCTTCTTCTGTTGATCTGTCTCCCTCGGCCCCGCGCCCTTTCGGAACCAACCTACGGACACCTGGGACCTATGCAATGCTTTAGTCATCAGCCTTAAACGTCATCTTGCGTCTGCACCCTCTGCCACTTTTTCCTGCAGCACTGACTAAAGAAACGTGCACAAGTAACAACGCCACGGCATCCCCGGCCGTGTGCATCCAACCTGTTCGGCGTATGTCCGTGTCAAGACTGCCGAATGACTACCTTATTCGAATACCTATGGGAGATGATGAACAGGTGGTTCCACGAAGAACGCTTCAAGTATGGCAATAAAAGAACGTTGTAAAGTGAACAGCAAACACACATGCAAATATTGAAAAAAAAAAAGAAAAAAACAATTGAAAAAAAAAAGGAATCCTAGTCAACAGCAAAAAAGAAAAAAAGGGGGCATACGAAGTCCGGATTTACGGTAAAATTAACAGTATCCCCTTCAGGCTTCAGGAGGATGATCGTGGGTCCTTGAGTAGTACAGCCCCTCGATCTCTCATTTTCTCTAGTGTACAAGCTCATCCACATTTTCCCACGGCCCGCGGTCTTCGGCCGCTATTGTAGACCCTCTCGCCGAATGCCTAACACAGCCCAATGCCGCTTCTTGCCGCCTTCCTTGGGTTCCGCCCTCCCAGGCTCCGAAGGCTCCCCCTCTACGGAGCGGAAGATGAGGGCCTTTACTTACCCAGAGGCCAGAGCCGTCGCCGTCAGGAAAGAAACAACAAGAAAAAAACAAACTGAATCGGCTGGGATCCCCACTCACACTTGGTACAACGATTCAGGCGTTCCAGAAAGGTCTAGAACGCGTCTTCGCCCCCCTTCTCTCGGTGTCAGCCTGTCAGGTACATCGATTTTCCCCCCTTACAAGAGTCGAGCGATACAGATCTGGTATCCGTAATATGGTACAGGAAATCTCATTTTTAGTGTAATTGACTGTTTTGATTCGCTCTTGTCATCTAAAATATGTAACATACCAAGGGGATCCCCTCCACCCTTCGTAGTGCAAAGAAAAAAACAAGGGTCCCCGTGTAGACAAATGCACAACCATGCCAAAGGTCCCGGCAATTCGAGGCTATCGTCGGACGCCCCATCCGTTCTCCAGCAAATTCGTCGCCTCCTCGAGACTCAACCCTGACGTCTCGGGATAGATGCGCCAGATGAGCCCGTAGCCCACCAGACACACCAACGCGTAGAGCACAAACGTCCACGACGGGCTCAGTGCGTCCATGAGCGGGAGGAACGTCAGGCCCACCACAAAGTTGGCGCCCCAGTTCGTCGCCGTCGAGACGCCGCTGCCAATGGACCGCACCGCGAGCGGGAACAGCTCGCTCTGCATCCAGGGGACATTGCCCAGTCCCAGTGCGTACGCCGCGACGTAGCCCATGATGCTGACGAGAATCAGCACCGCCGCGCCCCTGTCTGTGCCCGCGCCCTCGCCCGTGCCGCCCTCCGAGGCCGCCGCCGTTTCGGGCCGGAGGTCGACGAAGGAGAAGCCGTATGCGGAGAGCATCAGGCCCGCAATCATGAACGGCAGAGAGTAGAGTAGGATCTTGCGTCGCCCGATGCGGTCGATAAGACACAGCGCCGCCACCGTGAAGATGAAGTTCGTCACGGCGACGCTCATAGCCGTGAGCGTGGGCGTGCCGAAGCCGACCATTTTGAAAATCGTCGCCGAGAAATACATGAGCGAGTTGAAGCCGCATAATTGCTGAAGGCCCTGGAGCAGGCAGGTGATGACCAGCGCGCGCTTGTTCCTCCCGACGGAGAAGAGCTCCTGCCAGCCTCCCCACCACTCCATGCGCGGCGACCCTTCCCGCCTCATCACTTCCCTCTCCTCCCTGATTTCGATTTCAATCTCCTTGATGACCGCCTCGGCGTTCCTCATGCCGCCAACGGTGTTGCCCAGCACCCTCTCGACAACCTTCTTGGCTTTGAGCGACTGGCCCACCATGACGAGCCAGCGCGGAGACTCGGGCATGAGGGCGAGGATGGAGCACTGCAGCGCCGCGGGGAGCGCCCCGAGACCGACCATCCAGCGCCATCCCGTCGACTGGTCGCCGTACTCGGCAAAGGCCCAGCCGATGATGTACGCAACCACCTGACCGAGCGTGATGAAGAGAACATTCATCGTCACGAGCCGGCCGCGGTGGCTGGCGGGCGCGAGCTCGGCAATGTACAGAGGCACGACGAAGCTGGCGGCGCCGACGGCCAACCCGACAATGGACCGCCCGATGACCATGGAGGTGACGGTGCCGGCCCAGGCCTGCATCAGGGCGCCGAGGATGAAGAGGATGTCGGCGACGAAGATGACGCGCTTGCGGCCCAGGGCGTCGGCGACGATGGAAGAAAAGGGGGAAACGAGGAGGGCGAAGAGGGCGGTGCTGGAGGTGATGATGGACTTGTCGAATGTCGTGAGGATTCGGTTCGATAGGGAGGTGTCGATCTTGACGAGCGTTGCTGATATTACGCCCGTATCATCTGCGCAAAGGAGTAAGCATTTCTCTGGTCTACTGCCGTGGCAAAACTGGGGTGCCCAAACTCACATCCAAAGAGCAATCCGCTGATGCCGGCAGCAAATGTGAGGAGCCATACAAATAGACTCGGACCCGATTGGCGTGCATGCTTCATGGACGCGGGTAGCACGTCGGCCTCCTCATCCGCGTCCCGGTAGTCAAGCTCGTCGTCCCGGTCCTGGCGGCCGGCCATCAGCGGAGCATCGATCGAGTCGGGCATTTTGGCGGTAGATCCACGCCAAAAAGGTTAGTGTCTTGGGGGGGTTATGTGTGGTGTCTGTCGTGTCCCTTTTTTCATTGAATCTGTCGCAAATTGTCGAAGAGAATGCAAAAAGAGAATTTGGGTCTGCCTTTCAAGAGGCCATGCTGCGGAGTGCGTCTCGGCACCGTCGGTCGGAGGAGAATGGAAGGATGGGAGGCGTAAAAGGTAGGTGATGGCGATGCTCCGAGTTTCCTAACAGCGGGATGCCAGCCACGTTACGTGTTTAGAGTTGAGATGTCGTAGCCTCAAGTCCTCCCTGGGTCCGGAAGCTTGGGGCCTTGCGGGGCACTTTGTCACCCGGGCCCCATGCACTCCAACTGTTTCGGGGATACTTTGGCATCATAGGTGATGCAGCAGGGAGAAGAAGTATCATCTTATCTCGCGGGCCAGGCGGGGAGGGCCGCATCTATCGCCCGAACCAGTCAGCTTCAACACTCCGTGAATCCGAAACTCGGCAGGTGTTCACCGCCCTCCACCGCGAAGCACTGATCATTTGCGCAGCGGAATGAGGAGCCGCTCAGACGTCGTCATCTTCTGGACAACGAAGTTCTCTTGAAGTGTCATGGGTGTTGTTTGGCGATACCAAATACTGTAAAGGGGAAATTGTGACAATCTTAAATTCAGAAACTGGCCAGAAACTGGCAGATAATTATGTCGTACGGCCGACCAGCTTCTGTTGAGGGAACTGCGAAAGCAACTTTTGACGGATCTCATGATCAGACCAGGGCCCATAACAGAGTTGCAAAGTTTCAACGTTGGTTTGTCGCCGTGCTCTTTGCTCGGCAGACACATCCGCAACGTGAGACGAGTCAAGATGTAAATGTAAGTAAGGCCTACAAGAAACATACTTTACGTACCTTGCCTAAGATAGGTACTCATGTGGTGCAACTCCAAGAGGGCCACCGCTTTCCGATGGATACAAGTAGTTCAATTTTGTAGACGCCGCTTCGAAATGCTCAGATTTTCGCATCGAGCGAGCCAAGCAGGCCTCCGTCGCGACGCCTTTCTTGGTATGCCGCTTTGCAATCATTTTGATCCGAACTTTCAACTTCAGGAAACACGGTTCGCCGGACTTCTTTTGCGCGCTTGGCCATTTCGGGTGACCGAAGAGTTGTACCTAGTTGCTGGATACCTACCGCAGCCAATAGACGGTGAGCGCAAGTACACGAGGATGTCACACATTGTGTTCTTGATCGTGGGACCTTGGGTTTGAAAATAGCGTCGCGTCGCACAGATATCGACATCGTCTTTGGACCATGATAGAGTATCTCTCACTGCATGTCATAATATAAACATCGAATCGGCTGTGTAGTGTGTAGATAAGGCACGCCATGTCGCGTGGGTTTTGTCACCTTTGTGGTATGGACCGAATGGCTTTGCCGGTGACACACTTACCATCACCAGCGCCCGTTTCTTTCGTTTTCCAAGACTTGCAGCGGGCCAATAGACGCGCGATCGAGAGAGTCGACTTTATTCGGTGGCTTTCGTTAAACATCCGCCAAGCGAGGGACCAAGACTTTGCTTGGCTAGAGGTAGCACAGCACACCTCTGAGTTGCTAGTACACGGATGAGGCATCTCTTCCGATGTCAAGAAGACCTGCTCTCTTCTTATTAGATTCAAGTTTCCTTGGAATCTGTGTTGAGTCTCCGAGGTATGGTTGTATCGACATTGTGCCCCGGTTCATCTTTCAGGCCTGGCCTGGGCCTAGGCCTTTCAAGCAACAGACTCCGACGACAAAACTACTAGTGCAAGAAATGGGCACCTTGCAGCATGTGAGGTAATGAGGAAGCTTGGGTAGACCGTAGGTAGGCACAACATGGTACATTAAACTCTCGGGCTACATGTGGTCGTTGCAAGTCGTTAGTTTGTCAGATGTCAGATGAGGATGGTGCAGGGAGAGACGCTTGCGGGCCTAGCTTTGCGGGCGCGAAAGAGTCTCGCCCGGATCCTTGAGTGGACACAATCTATTCGTAGGAACGCCGATAACCTACACTCAAGGTACACAGAGAGCGCTTTTGTGCGTCCCGCCAAGGCAACGGTTTGCTGGGCAATGAATGACGAGCACGAGAAAGAGTTCGTGTATCGATTCAATCATCGTCAAGTGAGAAACGACAACCTATCAAGCAAGCGTAAACATACGGCAAATGTCGAGTAATCCGGGGGATCGCCACCAGGGTGAGCGTCGAGTGAGCATGTGGAAGAGCATACCGGTAGTCCCTAGTTGTAAGTTAAAGGGCGGTAGTAAAGTCTGGGAGGGTAAGAGGGTAGTGCGTCGATATTGTTCTTCCTTGTTGCCGTCTACCTCTGCTTTTTGACTTGAGCACCTCATGTATCGAGTTGAAGAAGAAGTTGAGATGGTTCGAAAGCGGGCCTAGGGCCACTCCGAGAGCCTGGGACAGATCTGGCGATCGTGATTACCAACAACTGTCAACTCGGCTCAGTACCAGGGCAGGCCGCAGCGGCGATAGGAGTGCTCTTGTCGTCAGGAGGAGGAGGAACTCAGCAATTCAACCTTCCCTTACCTAAGGTGACCTGGAATCAGTACGGAAAGGTAAGGTAGGTATGAGGTGGCCGGCTGGAGGTCAGCGAAGTATGGTATGTACCTGTACTTTCGTCCCCCTCCCACTCAGATGAGGAACGCACGCGGAGCAAGTCCGACCCCACCACTGCATTCCAGCTTCCACCTTCCATTGTTACCTTGCAGCAGGAGCACCAGCAGCAGCAGCTTCCGTCTGGACCTCCCCGCTTCCACCATTCCTTCCTCCTCCCGTCTAGCGAGCCGACGTCCACTCTCTCCACTGACACCGGCCGGCGGACGTCAAGAGCCTGGCACTCCGACTCTCATCCTGGTAGTTCACTTCTGCATCACAATCCTTCGCTCCCGACCGCAACTCGGACACCAGTCATGACATCCTACCCGCTCCGGTGTCCAATCAAGCAGGCCTAGAGACACTCGATGGGTATCAAACCAACATGGTGCCGCTGCGTGAATCGTGATGAGGTGAGGCCAGGGGCATGCTCATGTTCATGCTAATGGTCCAATGGATAATCTGCACTTCGCCTGCCTCGTCGCCCGCAAAACCTCTTCTGGGGCAGCAGAGTATCCCTACTCCGTAAACCACGGATATACGGGCACTTTCTCGAGAACAAGACTGCACAATGGCTCGTTCAACAGCTCGTGTGTTGCCCCGGAATCTGCTGTGATCAGACATGGCATGGCACGATGCAGGGTTTAGCCAAGACAGCGAGTATCCAAGCGCCTGGGGCTCTCAAGCTCCCACTCCCAAGAAAAAAAAATGCCCAAAAAGCATACTCAAAACGGCACACTACGAGCCTTCGACACCAACCATTGATCTCTGTGCTCCAACCCGTCGATTGCTATTCGACAGCCATCGATCGATGGAACCTCCTGCTGGTGCCGGGGAGCCTAAACGAACCGGGGGCTCTCGCAGAAGAGTGTGTGGATTGAAGGAACCAGTTGGGAAATCCTGGCTTGCGGCCTGCTTCTTGCCTGGCAATGAGCCAGCCTGCCGGTGCCCACCGGTTGAACCGCCGCCCTCCCGGCGGCCAGACTTTGAAAACGCCCGCTCGTCTGCGCAGTGCGGTGCTCCCATTTGTCTGTTGGCTCATCGAAGCCTGTTCACGGAGCCGACGAGCATATTTCCCCTCCAAGACAGCTCAGGTCAGGTCAGGGCATGTCGTATGCCCTACCGAACCGCTGCCATCCTCGTTTCCTGTCGCGCAATGATACAGAATGCTGCCCATCTTTCGAGGCGGACGCAGCGTACGGATACAAGACATGAATACTTCGGAAGCTCAACGTTGAAAAGATATGCCCTTGGAGTGGGGGTTTCTCTCGACGACCCCTACCAACCGCAATACATCTTTGGGGATACCCCACCATCGCCCACCCTGTACGCTGCGAGCCATGACGTTGGCTAGCCAAAACCCCTGATAGAGGGGTCCCCCTCAGGGTCTCGAGAACGAGCCTACGATTTGCGAGCCTGCGAGAGTCATGGAGCATGGAGCGGGCTGGCTGCGCGATGACCTGATGCGACGAGCATCGTTGATGTCGCGTGCATTCAACATACATTCAGTCGACGCCAACGCACGCCAAGGGTGCCTTCATTGTTTAACCCGCACGGCATGGGGGATCGGCCAAGATGCGCTGCGTACCTACTCGGTAGTGTAGCAGCAGGAGAGGGCAAGCCCACGTCCAGCAAGTGCTGACTTACAATGTACAATGCCATGCACCCCGGGTGCGTGCGGCATCCCGCCAGCGAACTTCGAAAGCGTGCATGTCGGGCTGCCAGAGCGAGTTTGGCGCTTTTTGCCGAATAGACGACGGACCCAAGGTTAACTAACTAACACAGAAGAGATGGCTATCACTTATCCGTACCATATGGGACAATCATCACTCTCGGACTCGAAGGTTTTCTTATCTCGCCGCCAGCCCGGCCAATGAGCTTACCACGTCATGCGAGCCACAAGCTCAGAGTTCCTCATCACGAGAGTGCCGACAAAGTAAACGCAGCTTGAGAGACTCAGGGGAGATCTTTCACCGGGCACCTCGAGTGTACTGTACCACCGTCTACGAATGCTACGACGGCCACGGCAGCGGCAGGCTTACGAGTAGGGGACAGGGTTCGGGTGCTTCGTACAGGTACAGATACAAGCCGTCCCGCAGACCTCGTTCCCCCCCTTCTCCAACAGGAAGACGCAGACGGGGCGAGGGCACGCGAGAATGAGACTGAAGGCTCATGCAACCGCGCTTGCGCCCGCAAGCCGTACGCCGGGGCCTTCCTCGCCTTCTGTTACTAGTGTGTTGCCAACCTTGCCCCCGCTATGCCGCCCGCTGCGTCCCCAAAGCCAAAAGCCAAAAACGCCCCATCCTTGGGTGTGTGGACTTGCTGATACTGGGCAATTGTAGACGAGTGTTGGGGCCCATTCTGGCCCATGAGGAACGGGGACAAAGTACCTTTGCTTACGTCTTTGCAAGAGGCGGTACAAGGGCTGAGGGCTGCCGCGAAAGCCAAAGGTAAGGATAAGCTGCCTTCTCTCTTTAACTGAGGGTGCCCGAACATGGAAGCAGACGTGGACGGACGGACTCGACATGGAACTGACCACCAACCCGACACTTCCTCTGACCCCATGAAAATAATTCCGTTCCCGTCCAGTACCGATCTGATCTGCTTCGTCTCAAACATAAACCTCACGCACTCCCAATAATCTCTTTTACTGGTCTTATCTTTGCAGCTCACAGCTCCCAATTTTCAGCTCCCACATCCCGACTTCCGGCCGCCTCTCCCCCAAGAACCGGGCTCTGAGGCACGCGGTAATGCAGCCTGTGTCGTCAACGTGCTAGACGGCAGGCACGTCACCGCATTTCAGGGGCCAGCAACTGCGCGAAGCAACCCAGGATACGCCAAAAAAAAAACCACCCACCAAGTGGAACATCGAGCCCGTGAGCCAGCTACACGCGGCTGCCCCGACGTCTCCGCAAGGCTGAACGGCCATCACGAGACCAACCTCAGGATTTTGGACAACGGGCGCCATGGGTCAGTGGTGGGATGCTACAAAGATTGACGCTACTGTCACGAGACAGTTCGTCTGTCAGTACCTTTTACCACAGGAGATTGAGCGCTTAGGCCGACCACTGGCTTTTGGTGACGGCTTGACGGATGAGACGTACTGGGACTGGATCAACAACAAGGCCAAGCGCATCTTCTTGATCCTCGTCGACCTCAAAATTCCAGATCAGATCTTCGGCATCGTCGACGACTCGTGGGACGACCATGATCTACCCATTTCTTCCGAGCATGTCGAGCGGCTCAGGTTGACGGCTCAGAGGGACGACAAGATTGAACGCAAGTTTTTTAGTCGTCAGTTCACCTACTTGCTGAAGCCCTTTCAACGAGGCGACCACGTCGTCTTCAATGAGTACGAAATTGTCCCTCTCGAGGTCATCGAGCGCCGACCGGCGGGGAATACTTCGGTAGACAAGGTTGTTCTCCCCAACTGTCCCGGTACGGTATTCTACCGACGCCGCATCCCGCTTGGGAACAGCTTCGGCCAGCTTTCCAAAGGCGAGTTCGTTGAGATCATCAACAGCATCAGGGGGATACAAAATGACCACTTGGTATCCTACTACGCTTCATACACGCAGATCGGTGCGGCATACGTCCTCTTCACGCCTGCTACCGACTCCAACCTGAAATCTTTCTTTGGCAACACGCCATCCAATTTCAAGAATCTTCCCAAGAAGGATCGGAGGCGGACGGTTATGAACTGGATCCTTTGCCTTGCCGACACCCTCGCCTACCTTCACAGCAGAAGGCTATGCCACGGGAACATCAAACCTTCATCTATACTCTTCACCAGCCAACTTCATATTTTCTACTCGGATTTCACGAGACTAAACGCCGAGGTTTTAGCCGGTTACACGGACAAGAATTCGTTCGACCGGGAGTCATACGACTATGCAGCCCCCGAGCAGTGGTTTCGCCCGACAGGCGGTCCGACGAGTCCTTTGGGTCGTATGGCGACGATGGCGATATCGACGTCTCCGGAAACGCACACGAATTTCTCCATTCCGAGAAGTGACAACCCGGGTAGTCCGAATGCGATGTTGAGCACGCCCAACCCACATCTGAACCCGCAAGCTGCTGACATCTTCTCCCTCGGCTGTGTCATATTGGATCTGATGAGCTTCCTCGTCAAAAAGACGACAAAGAGTTTCGCCGCACATCGTGCTGCCAAGCACAAGACCCCCGGTCGCGGTGGTGCCGTGCTGGATTCGTCATTCCACAAGAACCTCGGACAGGTCGAGTCTTGGATGTCAACATTGGCAAAGGAGGCGTCAAAAAAGGTCTCCGAATCCGACGGAGGTTTCGTGTTCCGAGGCATCGTACCTCTGATGCATATTGTAGCCCGTATGCTGTCGGCGAATCCAATGGATCGGCCCTCCGCGGCCGAGGTGCAGACCCAAGTCTATCAGATGTTGACCAAATACTGCGACATCAAGGAGCCTCACTGCGTTCACCAATACGGAGGCTGGGACTTTGGCATGTCACACTTGCGCATACAGCCCATCAGCCCTAACGCCGAACTCATGCCGCAGCCTATCCGACAGAACTCAATACCGCAGCTGCCGCGACGTGGCAGCGAGAGCATTGGAAGCATCAGTCCGAGAGGGTTGTCCCATTCGAGAACGAACAGCAGCGGCGGTGTGTCGAATAATAGCGGAATGAGTAGTGCGGCTAGCAGCGACCAAGACCGAGACCTCGGCCCCGGATTCACTGCCATTCGGAATATACGGGTGCCGCCGGTACGATCACCCGGGCCATGGGACTCGAGCCCCGGTGTTCAGGGCGGACGTAGTGACCAAGCTCCGGTGTATTGAGGACACGCATGCTCCATCGACGCGAGGCCCGCATGGATGGGCGAGGTGCGACGGCTCATGAGCGATATTCAATTTCTTTTTCCATTGGGTTGGCGCAGTCCCGATATCGATACCACACACCATGCCGCCTGGGTTTTGCATCAGAATTTCAATGTTAGATAAACAAGGGCGGGGAATGCGCGCTCGAGGTCATGGCATGAAATGTTTTGATGGTGTTTTGTTTCTTTTGTTGCTCAGCGATACCTCTGCCGCAAGTTGCCCATCGCACATAGGTTTGCACACAAAGCAAGCCCAGCCATAGTCGAAAAAGAGAATTCGAGATAGGAATGAAGATTCGATATTGAAATCATTTTATCCGTCCGTGATTGTAATCATTAAATGACCAACGGTTTCTTCATGGATTGACTGTTACGTACGGGCTCGAGTTTGGCCATGGAAGAGGCCTACCTAGCAGCGGGTAAGGTAGGTGGTAGCGTGAGGAGGGCGGGGCAAAGATGGGGGAAAATGAATAGGTAGCGCGGGGATGGAGCGACCACAAGAGCAAAGGGGAGGGGACGAGGCGGTCCCTTTTTGTACGTAACGAGTTTGCTAGCAATAGCTTTTTTCCTTGCCTAACGCTGGTCCTCTTTGATTTCAGTACGGACACCCAGGGTAATTTCCGCTGGTTTGCTGGTAAGAATGGCATTATTCGTGCCACCGGTTACGTGATGGACGTGAATCCATCGAATGGGCAGTTTACATGACAAACGGAATTCCAAAGAGGCTTTTTTTCCTAGCAGGGGGGCGGTCTGTGAGCCTGTGAGGAGTACGGAGTAGTGAGTGAGGCTTCCTCGTCCCTTTTGGGGTGTTGGGGGCGATGGCCGCGGCTTGCCGCACAAGCTGCTTCTTGGGAACACTGCGACAGCAAATCGCATTTGGGTGGCTAAAGTGGCAGCGGCCTGGCACGCTTGTTGGTTCGTCTTGCCCACCTGCTTGACTGAGGAGGCAGGATTGAGATTGAAGCTGTTTGGGGCCGCGGGGGGTATGAATTGAATCGGACTCTTTGGGCTTTTGCTTGTGCAATGTTCGGGATAGGTGTGGTTGGAATGGGATTCCGAGCTGGTGCGTGTTTATTCCAGATACGTGGTACTACAGAGTACACAGCTGTTGAACGCATCCCTGCGAAACGGATGAACCCCGCGTTTTGGAAGAGGGAAACAAAAAAAGATACAAGCGGGGGAAATGGATAAACTTTATGGGTTGTGGTGCGACGACGTTTCCTACCTGCTTGAGACCCCACGCAAGTCTTCTGGGTACAGCTGTCTGTACAGTGTAACATACGGCTGTGTTCAATTTACTTGCATAGTTCTCCTGAATCTGGTATCTGGATTTATTGTTCGTGGGCGTAAGGATGATGAAAACGTGCTCCTCCGAGTTGGGTTTCCGGTTCCATGCCTATCCTAATGTGTAAGTCGAACATGAACTTGGACATGTTTTCCGCTTATGCTTTCCTTCTTTTAGTTGTTGGTGTTGAGATTGTTAGAGGGGCGTGTAGTACGAA